ATCTTCAATTTTTGTTTTGCTACCAATGAATCAGACTCAATTTGTCAGGGGGATGCAGGTGAAGAGGAAGTGCTCAAAGCAAACAGGCAGGTGCTGGAAATAAAGCATAGGCTACAAGGAACTACAAAGATAATCTTTCTCATGGGTATTTATGATTTTGCAGAATTCCAGCAAAGACATGGACCTTTTTTTTTTTTTTTATTAATGCCAGTTCAAATAGATAATAATGATAAATAAACAAGTTCAATCAACTCATTTACAGGCCAGCACATATAGGCATGATCTTCACCACCTCACTACAACTGCATCTGACAGGCCTGGAACATGCTGCCCTTTTTCCTCAATTTAAGTTTCTAAGCAGCATGGAAAAGCACTTCCTACTAAACCCAGATTTAGTTTAAAAATTAATGAAAGATGAGACATAAAGCTAGAAAGCTCCTTTCAAAATGCTAGGGGATTGTATGAATAAAAGGGCACTGACTGAAAGGTGTGTGGGTTTTTTGTACAAGACATATTCAAGTACTATGAGCTTTCTTGTATTGTGGAAAAATTCTGGTCTATTCTGTGGAAAACACAAATAAAAACTTGATAAAATATAAAGCAACTGGAGAAGATGCTTTATCAAACCTAAAGAAAATTGCTCAATTACTCTGAAAACAGACTGCTGAAGAATTTTATGTAGTGACAGAATCTTGTTTGAGGTGTTTATTTGCTATTATTTCTGTGTTAAAGCTGTCATACACCTACAAACTGGTTGAAACATGTAATATTAGCCCTCTTTTTGGAATGCTTCCAAATGGGCTTTGGAAAATAACTGAGCCCATTTTTAGCTTTGCAACCATAAAACAGCAAGACAGAAAGCAAAAGCAGCATAATTTTGCAGCTATATAATTCTGGAAATAAAAGGACTTTGAAAATAAATGAAAAATGCAAACCATTTGCTCAGTACAACTTATGTGGTAAAAGTTCTTTCACTAGAATTTATTTTAATATGACAAAAATAGTATTAGAACACCAAGGCTACAAAGTTTTATGCTTACAAGTTAGGAATTTCTAGACTTGAAATTATTCATTGATATTACGACAGTCTTCAGCTAGGTATCAAAACAGTTGTTCTTTTTTCCTTGCAGGATAAAATTTACTGTCTCTGCAGATAGCTTTGGAGCACTGGTTTTTATTTTCAGTCATTTGAGCTAAACTGCTCACCCCATGGATTATTTTCTTCCTTCTAAACGGATTAACTAGACTGAATAGAGAACACTTTTTTCTTCTTTTCTTTGGAGGGTTGGGGGTGTTAAATTATACTTTTCTTGTGGCATCTTGAACCTAGAAAGGATTAAGATTCCTGAGTTCTGCCTAATTCCCACTTGAATCACCTACATCTTATCTCTGATTCTCAAGATTCAGGCTGGCTGCTGAAATATCCTGAAAGCCAAAAATGCATTCATATATATATATATCTATCTTTGAGATTGAAGCTTCTCAGGACCTGGAAATTCTGCTCTGGAGAACAAATCTGACTTCCCAGTCTTGCACAGTCTGAAGTAGACACACTTCCATTCTCCTTGAAGCCACAAAGAAAGCACTTCCTAACACATTACCTTAGATAGGACACTTGGTAGTTAGGTTTACATCAAACCTAACATCAGACAAAAAGAGCTGCTACTTTTCAGACCTGTGATAGTGTCCTCTTTTCCCTCCACACCTCTCCCTGATACAGCAGCTAAATGATTAGAGTGTGTGCACGGATTTCTTTGAGAGAGCCAAACCTGTCTCTGTTCCAGGGGAAGGATGAACATGAGTTCCTGAGGTAGTGATTAAAGCAAGCCCTGAACCAGGGGGTGGATTGTACATAACTGGGTCCTGTCCTTTTCAAAGGATAATTTTACCCTTCTATCAATTTATTTTAAAGTGAAAAATAAATGAACTTTTCTGAGAAAAAGTGCAGATGTGGCTTCCCAGCATTTGAACCAGTAACTTTTTGTTAGGTTAGAGAAACTGACTGCTCTCTCTTTTTTCACTCAGTGGACATATAATACTTCAAAACATAATGGAAACCATTGTGATAGAAGGCAAGGGGAGGAGAGAACATAGGAGATGTAGATCTGAACAGGCCATCTATGTCCCTTTGAAGGCATTGCTTTTATCACCTGGTATTAATTTGCTGTATTATAGATCCCTTGGAGCCTCTTCTACTGAAACTTTCATTATATATAAAAGTACTGGAGATTTTCTAAGGCAGAAGAAGAGACTATTCCTAAATCTTTAATGCTTAAAAAAAAAGGCATGTTAAAATATAGTACATCCTCAATATTTCCTGGTGCACATTTTTGATGGTTACAATTTCATTGAAAGCTGATTTCTATTCACATAGCGTGATTTTTTTTTTTTTTCCAGGGCTACAGATCAGGGCACTGAAATCTTCCTATGACACTAGGCCAAGCCTTGTTACAAGTATTAATTTATTTGCACAAATCACTTGTGAATTGAGATGGCATTATTAGTTACATTTTACATATCAGGCACTAAAAATAAAATGGCCAAAGGAGCATAGTTTGACATCCTTAGGGACAAGCCTTAATAGCTTTTTAATGCTGAGAAAACAGCTGTCATTAATCTCAATTGTCCAAGAATGCAGCAGAATCAAGTGCTTGGAGTTAGGAACCCACAAATTCAAAACTACACACTAAGCATTTTGTATTGAGAGATTTATCTGTTATTGGGAAACCCTTCATTTAAGAAGTTCAACTCTTTTCCTGAGTGCTGTTCAGTTCCTTTAGGATGGTCTCTTCTGTTTCCATAATTCCCTCCCAAACACCTTTGTACTTTTCTCTCCTGAGAGTTACTACAATAATTACCCTTCAGGGAAGACAAAGACTAATTGTATAGTTGCATTCTCAAAACCATGCTTTTCACATTATGGGGTAAATAATGAGCATGATGAAATTCTAGAACCATTACCAAACATTTAAAAATTTTTAAAATTAATTTTAGTTCTCCCCCAGTCTCCATATATGTCAAAGAAAGAACCGAGTTCCCTGTATTCTATTTGTGTACTCTTTCCTTGTGGCCAACAGATTGAAAATTATTTAAGGGAAAAAATCAAATTCTGGTCTCTGCCTTTACATCTTTGGTACAAGTACTACTAACATAACTACAGGGATTAAGCAGCTTTTGGAAAATTAAATTTAGATCCACAAACTTGGTGATAATTCAAAAATCATTACTGCCTATTTAGTCAATTTTCATGAGACCAATTAAATGCATAAATTTTTCATATGCTGGCATATTTGAAGAACGTGACCACATATTTAGCAGTAAGATACCTTTAAAAATAAAAATACTAGCCAGCTTAAAAACCTGATTCACCAGTAATGATAACCCTGCTTCCAGAAGAAAGGTTATGCAGAACAAATGCAAGCATTAGCTGTAGACAGATTTAACCTGCTAATTTATGGGGATATTTTATAGATTTGAGTTCTAAATGGTACCTTGAAAGACTCCTCGTCTGCAGGGAGAGATACTCAAAGTGTAAGCAGCGGTGTCCTCTGGGTTGACAGTCAGATCAGGGGCACCACTCAGCATTGAGAGATTGGAATACACCTGGGGGAGACAAATCACAAAGAGGAAAACTCATCAAAAGCAAGTAACTCTTGCAAGAACACCATCAAGACATTATCCATTCGTATCCATTTGTATACACAGATCATTTCAAGCACAAATTTTGAAGTTATTGCTCAACATGATCAAAAGTCTATTGCTCAGACCACAGAACTGCTTACATAAGCATAGATTTGCACAGTTGGGCCCTTAATATTTTACATACATTTTCGTTAGAAATATAACAAAGATGTTCAGCAGTACCAATCCATCTAAATAGACAAAACAAAGCAAAATCTAAAATGTCATTTTAACATCATTTGCAGCACCTCAAGTGATATTAAACTGTGCTTTTTGGATATGTCACATTTTGTAAATGACACATATACATGGCATGCATGGCAACTCTTGGGGCAATGGAGAGACCAATACAATTTTCACATATGGAACTTTAGGGTTTGCAAACTGTAAAGCTCATTGGGAGAATATAGGGTGAGTATTTTTTAATTGCATCTCATTTCTTTCTCTCTTGAACAGGATTGCTGCAGAGGGATTCTCTGAGCAGCTGCTCGTGGTCATGCTTTAGGATTTTAGCTTTTATATCTTTGAAATCCTGTACTGCATTAGTGTATGATTCTAAATTCCATATAGAGTGTTAGTTAACTGTCTTCACATTTTGGTCAGACAAAACAATTCCTCTAGGCCTGAAATTCAAGGATACCCAGGGCCTCAGGCCCTGAAAAGTATAACAAAAGTGAATTGGGGGGCAGCAAACAGGGGTGTATGAGTTCATTACCTGAAGCTGTAATTGGAGAATTGACCCAATATGAAAATGGACCAAACTTATATCTGTCTGAAAAACTCATGACCATCATCCATTTTGGGTGTGTAGCCCCTTGGGGAGGCTTCATCTGCCCTTAATGTACCTAAAGGCCCTTTATTAAATGTATCTTTTATTCTCTTAATTCTGCCTGGCCTCTGTTTTTAGGTAAGTCAGGAAAAGGCATCAGTGGAAGAAGTGTTCAGGTCTGAGGCATCCCCAGGCAGTGCTGGCCTGTCAAGCACCCAATGCATGGATACCTGCATCTACAAAGATTTCTCTTGCAACACTAACAGCATTAGATGCACATTCATTTTTTAAGTAAATATATTTTCTTATTATTTTATGTAGAAAATAAGCCAATTTTTAAATCACATTTTCTTCTGATACAGACAGTCATTGCCTACAACGCATTCTCTGTTTGTGGTGTTTATGTTACTGTAATTCCTTTTTCAGGCACTTGTTCTTCTAAATCCAGAATTTCTACTCCAAGAAACAGAGGGAAAAACCTGTCAAGCAACAGTCTTCCTCTCCCCCAGTAAATCTGCATTTCAAACTGGATATTAAAAGCGCAGCAACCAGAAAGAATAGGAAGAAACTACTTTGGCAAGAAGGGAAAAAAAAAAGGCTAAAAAAGAGATGGATGAAAAGACTTGTTGAATTGGCACTTGGAGAAAAAAAACTGAAAAAAAAATCTTTTAAGTTGTCAACAAAGAGCAAAGCATAGGAGAGGTGGGACTTTTACTGAAGATGAAGAAGATTCATTTATTCAAATATAAACAATAAATTAGTCACACTCCTACATTTATGGATTATTCCATTTCAGTTTACAGTAAATGTTGCAAAAGTAAAGGATAAGTACCTAAAAATACAGCTAGGACAATAGAAATGACAGCAAATTACTAGGGATACAAATAAGATCAGTCAAAATGAGATTTCTTTTTAAGGGAAAAGCAATATGGAGACAGAAGCAAAAGTAGGATAAATGTGATTAATTTAAATTGGGTAAAAAGCAGAAGGGTAGGGTAGTACAGTTTCTAGCAAAGACTGGACATACCAGACAAGTTTCTACTACAAGATCTCAAAGTAAATGGAACACTACTGGCATGGTTGACTATAAACATGAAGTGTCTATGGATTGCTGATAAGTAAATATGGACTGAAAGTTTGATTTTCAGTCATTCAAGAGAAATTTTGGACACTTTTTCAGAGTAGTGAACTAACAGAAGCTGAATTATTTTAAAATTAGGTTTTTAATCTCAAGGAAGTGACTGTATAACCAAATAAGAAAAGGCAGAGTATAAGCAATGAAACTATGTCAGTACACACGTGGCCACAGTTTCAGTGTTTGAAACCAGATCCTGTATCAAGAGACAAGGAGGGATTTTCCCTTTCCTGTCCTGCATCAGATTAAACCTTTTAGGATCAGATGCTCACTAAAATTTGTACATAACTGATGCTGACCTCAGTCTGCTGCCACCTTTCCTCCTGCAGTCATTAAACTCATTAAACATTCCTCATGCTGCTTGTTATTCCAGAGCTGTAACACAAATAGTCACCATCAAGGAATCATCCCCATTCATTTACCATTCATTTATTTGTCTCTGTTATTTAAGTGAATCACACTTTAGCCAATCTCCAAGCAGTGTTCACAACAAAGTCTCCTACTTCCAACCTCCTGAGAAGGTTTATGGCTGTGACAGACATCACTCACCAGGCACCTCTCATGTGTTCCTTAAATAGAATTTTGTCTTGCTCCAATGGCCACGTGATTTATCAGCTCTGTTACTGAGACTAATTAAATGATCAACCTCAGATGACAAATGGATACTAAAAGTGCATGCCCACGCTTGCCCATGCACACAGGCAATTTATCCTAATATCAGAATTCATACCAAGAATCATTCTCTTTTGTTCACAAACATTTGGGATTCTAAAATGACATAATGTTGTATAATATGTCTCTGCTTAACTGCAGGTCTATTACAAAATGACAAGACATCCAGGAATACTCAGAAAGGAAAAAAGTTGGAGAATTTAAAAGTACACATAGGGGAAAGTCCAGATATTGCAGATTTTTATAACAATAAGTAGTTGCAAAGATTTCAAAAGTTTAGAGAAAAGCTTTGAGTGAAGCAACAAAAGAATTTATGCACAGTAAGCTTTAAGTTAACTTTATTTTATCAGAGAGAGCTATTTCTAATTACTATGCATTTCTATGAGGATTATATGTAAGGACAGAACACAATTTTAGTCACAGATGTAGCATTGAATAATCTGATATCCTATAATAATCTACAATACTGTCTTCCTGAAGGTTCCTTAACATGCCTAACAAAATCTTCTATGGATCACTATTGTTAGGCAAATACATTTTGAATGAAGAAAATAGGGCATAAATTGGGGTGTTTTTATCAACAACAAAAATAATATTGATTTACAAGCTATTCAAAATGAGTCAAGATATAGAATTACTCCTTCCAGTTAGTGGGAGAGGCAGTTTGTCAGCTTCTGTCCTGATGTGTGATGAGAGAAAGATGAACAATTACAGGCAGATAAACCAGAACCCACACCAAGGCTGAGGTTCCAGAGCTTTGTACTTACACACAGTATCAATACTGAAACAGGCAGATCTGCAGATACACACTGAAGAATACACAAAATTTATCAGGCATAAATAATTGCAGTTTCTTAAAATACGTTACATCACTATCACTCAGGAAATCAGAACTGCAGAATAATTCAATGGAGCCAAAATGTAAATTATTATTAAAGTCATCATTGTGACTCTGCACAACATTTGCTTAAAGCAATCCATATCCAAGGATTTGTTTTTTAAATTATAGTATTCTCCATTGTCTTACATATCAAGTCATTATTTACACACAGCCAGAAAGTATAAATGGAGTGTATGTATAAAATGCTGCAATTTAAAACTAATATATCAGTCACTGGTTTGAAAACTCATCCTGCAGAACTGTAATATGGCTATTTAACAAGAAAAGAAATGTAAAAACCAAACTTCAAAATTACTGTAACTTTTTCCAGAGCTGAATAACCAAATAAGCATAACTCCAAAAACTTCAAGGCCAAGTGGTGAATAGATGTAAGAATATAATCAAACTCCATTGTCTCTTAGTAAAACAAAGTCAGACAGTAATATGTTCAAGGTTTCCATTTGAGAATTGTTTCTGAGGTTTCTTTAACAATACTGAAAGGCTCTACTCAGCAAAAAGTTAATGCTCTGTGACTCTAGGCCAGAACTGCATCTGTGGGAGTCACTGATCAATCTGACAACCAGACTTTACAAATTGTCAAGAATGGCTGTTTTTCCATAAAAAAACCCATTTCTTTCCCTCATCCACCTTTCAGAGTGAACTTTCCAAATTTCTGAGTCACTAGGAACTCATTTAATTCTTGCAATCACTCTTATTTTGCCACCAGCATGTTACCACACTGAAGTAAAACATCTTTGCATTGCACTTAGGATATTCTCCAAATAATTCCTGCCTGTTGAGCAGCAACCTGGAGTTCTGCATAATGAAAAATGCTACATAATCCAGATTTGTTCCTAAACCAGGCCACCTATCAAGACCACTAACACATTTCAAGAAACAAATCTGACCTAAGACCTTACTATGCCCTTAATTGATCTAAAAATTTCACAGCTAGCCATCAAAAAGACATCTGGCAACAACTAGAGTTGTTCTTAGATTCTGTAGCCCTTTGAACCAATAAATAAATAAATATATTAATGTAAATATATATTTATTCACCATATAAATATATTGCTTACCAGATAAAAATTGAAGGATTATGGTGTACACAGATCCACTTGTTGCTAAAGAAGATAAACTTGACCTTTAGCAATCAGGTTACTGCACTTGCACAGAATTCATTCTCAGAAAATCTCAGATACATTACTAAAAATGAGCTAGGCTGAATAGGGAAGCCCCTCATTAAATGTTTATGGTACATACTTTTATTACTTTGAGGCATTTGTTACAAATACCCAACCTTCATGACATTGTCTCAGTGACATTGTCAAAACCTAAAATGGATATATAGAGGATAGAGGTAAACACACTGAAAAACAGAGGATTTGATATTTTTTTTCATTCTGTATTTATTCTACAATTTTATAAAATACTAACAGTTTGTATAACCTAATGCCTGAAAGGTAATTTAACTGGGTCTTGAGATTCCTCTGGAGAGTTTACTGTAATGGCATCTACTTTAAATAGCACTGAGAAAAACAGTTGCACAGTTTTATATTATATTGCAAATCCATGCCTTGAAACAATTAGGCACCTTTATAGCTAAAGTTTCTATCAAAGGTATCATTAGAAGGAGCCATCAATGCATCTGACAATTATTTATATCCAGTAGACAAAGATTTATATAAATAAACAAGAAAATTGCATAAAAAGTTTTGTCATGAGACTGAGAGATTGGATTTTCATAGAAATGCTTTACACTTCCTTCTCTCAGGAGGAATTGAATGTAATTTTACAGACACTAAAATCCATTTACACTGCAGACACTTACCTTCTATTAATTCATCATTAGAGAAGGATGTGCTTTCTGGCTTATGTTATATGTGCACAAATTCTTTATAAATTCTGTTGTGATGATTTTTTTTTTTTCATATCCAGAATTTAATCACAAGGAAGACTATTTGTTGCAAGATCCTCAAGAACCAACCACAAGGAGCACAGTGGCAGCAGTTCCCCAAGGTTTACACATCAATCAGTAGAAAATAGTTCATAAAACCATTCACATTTTTCAAGGGAATTTATGGAAATTGTATTTTTAATCATGGAAAGCTTTGTGAGCACTGCAAGGGTTTTGCTTAGAAGTTTTAAAGGTAGACTGATGGAGTCTTGCACATGACCTCCACTGCAAAGGCACTTCTTCCCTCCCCAACTCTAGATCCACACTAATGGTTGCAAAGACACATATACAAAAAATATTGCTGCCCCAAACATAAACCCTCTGTATATGATTGAAAAGGAAAAAAATATTATTCAGCTGGAAGAAGGCTGTCTTTCTGCAGTAAAGGCAAGGATCATTTCCCTCTTCCTCCTTCCAGACTTAAATTTCATTTAAAATTGTCACTTTTACAGTAGCAACCTCATTTTGGCTTAGACTATTAGAAAAATACAGCAAATATGAGAAACAGAGTAGCATATATATATATAATGTAATTTTATTTTTTAATGACATGATTTTTTGTTAAGTTTATAGTTTAATATATTCAGTTATTAAAATGGAATAGTGAAGCTACATTTACAACTCCAAGGCAAAATTACCCCCAAGTTTCAGTTCAGCTAAATTACTTATTGCAAGTATTCATCGTGCAGAAAATTGTTTATGGACTTGTCTGTAAAGGACTATGTTTGTCAGCTACTGACATATAACATACCATTCTTGACATAGGTTGAGCTTTATTACTTCAGTAAATGAAATTCTCGTGTGTTTTGGTTTTTTTTAATATCATGTATGTCCCAGTTAATCTATGAGAAATTACTTCATACTCCAGCGCTGCAGGGTGTACGGGGCACATCAACCAATTCAATAATGAAGATATTCATTAGCCAACAAAATTACAAAAGATCCCATCAAAAACACATCCAAAACTATTACTTTTTGGATTATCATTTCTCTGTCTGCCAAGACTGACAACATTTCCTCTACCTAATCACCAACTTAGCTACAGCACAATACAGAAAACTGTCAGAGATGCTGGATTAAAAAGGAGGAAGAGTTATTGGGCTGCCATCAAGTGCCCCCAAGGGAAACACCAGCAAAGACAAAAACAGCGCTCTGCTTCACCACAGACTACCCAGATATTACAGTAATCAGGCAGCATGGAACAAAATGAACAGCAGCAACAAAATTAGAATATTTGTTTTTCCTGTTGCCCTTTGTGCTATATACATCTGAATAAATAATGTTTATTTGGCATTTCCAACAAGGCTATGGGTCACACCTCTTAAAGAAGGTTTTCTGCATTTCCCTAATAACTACAAATACCTGTGATCATGTTCTGGATTTAGTAATTAAATCCTAATTTACAGGCGGACCGTTTCGGAAATAAAAGCAAGCAAATGATCTTTGCTCACTCCAATAGCACAAGACACGACATGACATCTGCTGGAGGGTGCTGGAAGTGATAAATATTGTTTGCTTTGTGGAGGGGACAGATTCCAGACTCCAGCAGGCTTTGTAATCCTGCCTTTTCCAGCAATTCCAGCACACCTTGCTCCAACAACTGTTCTGCAACTGCTTCTGGGTAAGAATCTTGCATAGAGAAAATGCATTATTCACCCTGATTAATTTATTATATGCATACATGAATGAAATAGCTGACCTTACTATTTCTCTCCCAAAGGTCCCAGAGAGAAAAGAGCACACACAGTTGGACTGTCAAGCAGTATTTCACAGAGATGAAAAAAGCACAAACTCCCCCCACATCACAAAACTAATCAAAACCAGATTTCAGGTTGAACACCCTCAAGGAGGTCAAAGTTCAATCAGACAGACAGAGCTCACCCTGGAACAGTTACAATTGCCATAAATTCATTTAATGAAACATTTCTGAAGAATACATACCATGAATAATTTTAATGTATTTGTTTTGAAGTTTTTTTATTTCTGTACCTTTCACTTACATTGGCACAAAAAACAGTTGAGTTCACACAAAATAGGAAAGCAGAAAAAACATTCTGTTGCCAAAAACATTCACTTCTTCCAGAGACAAAAGTACAAATATATTAGAAATGTAAATGCATTCGCATCTGAAAAACTAAGACTGCTGAAAAAATAATGTCAAAGCTGGTGATACCCAAAAAATTAATTTCCTACTTTGTTTTGTGGGATGATAATGACTCAAAAAACAGGAATATGAACCTGGACCTGTCTGTGATATAGGAAGTTTACTAAATGTAGATTGACCTGTAAAAGTGGAAACCTAGAAAACTGGAGACTAGCAAGAAGACATCCAAGGAAGGATTTTGACATGAATTATCATTACTTAATAGACCACTGCTGCTGGTATGTACATGGTCTCTCTTTGTACCATATGGTCAAATCATTCATTACCATTACCTTTCAATCTGAATTAAGCAGCACTTGGCTCTACTGGCACCAAGGCAAGAGAACAAAATCACTCAGTTTGCAAGTCCACATTAGTCAGCTAGTCCAGTTTTATCTTCTAGCATGTACATTGTCCCATTTTCAAGCCTTGAACAAAAGGAAAACTAAATACTCATATTTACATGTGCTGACAATTTTTAGCTGGCACTCCCCTGCATTGCTTCAATAGATGGAGCCCTCCTGGCAAATAGTGTATGGCCATAATATCTGGATACTATCTGCTTTAGATTTAAATGCCATGATAGAGTCACAAATACAGATTTTCTTTGAAGTTGTTCCTGCTCAGGAACTTCTCTGCAGCTGGGAAGAAAAGCAGAATTTCATCTTTGTTCCCCTAATGTACCTTCTGCCTCTGCTGGCACAGGACATGGAATGCAATACATAGGGACAGAAGGTGAGGAAGGCTACAGAAATAGTTTAATCACTTTCAAATTAAACATACAGACAAGATAAACAGTGGAAAAATTATGCTATTTCAGTACTACAACAGTGGTTTTAAATAGAAAAATATGTTTGTGTAAACACAGTTAAAAATATAGTTAATGGAAAATATGAAAAATAATGACTATTTAATAGTAAAAATACGTTCTTGAGCAAGGAAATCAATAAAACTGTATTTCTTAAGAACTTGTATTAACCTTCTCAGTGACCCATTGCCTTTCAACAACTCCAGTGATTACCTCTGAATTTTCTCTGCTGTCAGCAAACACACAAAGTATTCCCAACTTCCTCCAACATTGCTGAAACAACAGCTGGGCAATAGACAGTAACTGGGCCAGGCCAATGGGCCATGAGAAATTCATGCTTAGAGAGCTCATGCTGCAATCCTGCCCTCAGTAGGATAATAATTTTTGTCCTTTTCATGTAATAGTCAATATTTTATGAAGATTTTAGGAACCCAGTAATTCTCAGGCCCCCTCTAATTTCAAAACTGATAGAGTTGGCCTCAGGTTTCAAATCACTGAAGAAGGAAAGATTAGCAAATGAACAGAGAACAACTGTAGAAGTATTGTCCCTTAAGAAACCAGACTAAAACATGAAGAAATATTTTTTTCCATCAAGCATACAGTAAAATCATACATTAACTCACAGATTTCCTGACTATAAACATATCCATAGACTATGAACTATAGAAAATTTTCTCATGGATACATTAATTTTATTAGTGTATCTGCAATTACAGTAATTGTTGCTTCTGTAATACATCAGTGTACACACTGTAATACAATCAGTCCTTGGAGAGAAAAATATTTGTCATGTTATTGCAAAAAAATTACCTTGTATTTTAACATCTTCTTGGTATAATTGTGCACCCATAAGATTTTATGAGCGACCTTTCCCACTTGGCACTCTATCACAATGCAATCCTGAGGCAGAGGTTTCTTCCCTATTCCCTTAAGACTAAAGATGTTCTGAGTTCCAGCTGTAACATTTCTCAGAATAAGCCTTCCCTACAACAAAGAAAGGAGAAAAAAAAATTTCATTACCGTAAAAGTCCCCTTTGGCTGCCAAAGCAACTCCTTTAGTTTATTAATCTCAAATCCAGGTGACTCAGAGTGCTTACAAGAAAGGGCTCCTATTTTCTTTCCTAGTTCTTAAATAAACCCATTTCTAAACAGAGAAGTAAATGAGAGAACCAAAACCTTTTATTTTAATTTTTTCTAAACTATGAAATTCAACAATATAAAGTTTTCATATTCTAGGTTTTCTATTTCTTGAATTTTTCTTTGGAAAAAAAAAAAAAAAAACATTTCCAAGAACATATGATCTCATGCCTCCTTGTCTCTCATACAATATTTAACTTTGCCCATTGAGTGTTTCTCTTCTGAGCACAGCATTGAGCCTGGAGAAAGGGAAACTCAAGGGAACTGCACTGCTCACTACAAATACCTGGAAGGAGATTGTAGTGAGTTGGGGATGGGTCCCTTCCCTATGTCTCAAGTGAAATATTGAAAGGAAATGGCCTTAAGTTGTGCCAGGGGAGATTCAGATTAGACATTAGAAAGAGATTTTCACTGAAGGAGTGGCTGGGCATTGGAATGACTTCCCAAGGAAAGTGGAGTCACCATGTCAAGAGGCATCTGGATGTGGCACTTGGGACATGGTCTAGGGGTAACTATGATGGTGTTGGGTTGACACCTGGACTAGATAATCTTGGGGGTCTCATCAAAATCTCTGGATGATTTTGGGATTCAGCTAAAATGTTCTCCATAATAATTTAGTCATCAAAGGATTCAGAGCTTTTGGCTTTTAATAATTTTATAACACTGGATGCCAAAACTGCATTTATTTGGTTGGTAACACATGCAGAAGGGTTACTTAAGCTTCAAAGAACATTTTATTTTTTCATCTTTGGCAGTTCACATATTTCAACAGCAACTTACAGTCAAATTCTCTCAGCTGGGGACACAGACAAAACCACAAATGCAGCTTCTTGCTAAAGGTGTTATAGCCCTTGGTCTGCTCATCATTTTAGCATTTGGAACAGTGGCTACTGTGATGGCAAAAGTAGCTGGGAAATGGTGGCTTAACTTGAAAATAAAGTACTCTTCACATAAATTAATTTGTGATGTAGGCATGCAATGAGAGTACTAATTAGTTATTATGGTAATGAAATACTATTAATCTAAGCACTTAAATTCAGAATATCAATGTATATTTTTGTGATAAAAGTCTGGAATATTTACAGAATAACTGTAGGATTGAAGAATTTAATAGAAATCAATAGAATCAAAGAATATAATAGAAAATTAAATAGACATGAGCATATGTGATGAGGAAATCTATCATAACTAATCAAAAGGTTTACAAAGTTAGTTCATTTGTGTTTTTACTTCAGATAGCAGTAAATCTTACCCCTCCTTTCTCTCAAGAAGATGCTTTAATATTAGCAACTGTCTAAACACTTGCATAATTTGGATACTGGTGATTAATTTTATTGGTGAAAGCATCCTTTTCAAATGTTGAAACTGATTTCTCTCTTACCATTATTACACTCTCAGCAACCGGCATGAACGTGAGAGGATACTGAACTGTTTCGCCTACAGGCACATTTATTACAGAAGGGCCATGAAAACACTGTCCTTCCAAAGTTGCTTCAAACCTCCAGTCCTCACAGGATAAGTTACTCTGAAAGAAAATCAAAGATGTAAATTAGATTATGCGTTTAAATTTTTTAATGTGCATTTCAGCTTTCACTTGCAGCTACCACCACATCACAGCACAGTCCTCATTTGCTCCAAGTACTTACTCAGAGTGCCTTTGGGAAGAATAAAAGCAGTGTATTTTAAAAATGAAACAAGCTAATGATAAATCTGTTATTCCTGGCAGCCAGAGGTAGAGAACCCCTACTTTCAGTAGCAATACTGTCAGCAGGAATACTCATTAGAAGAACACGAGCATGATCTAGCTAATGGTCAAGATGGAATTTTTAAGTATCATTTTAAACATTTACAAGTATCTTCATGGTGCTGTTTAATGCTTGACAAAATTCTGTTCCTATTCCATCTGCAGAAAATCTTGGCACACCCCTTTGAAGAGCTGATGTGGTGTGCTGGCATATACTGCTTCATTTGGCCTCTGACAGTGTTACAGGATCAGTCTTAGGAATTGAGAACTCCATCACCAAAGGAGAATTTATAGTCCTGTGTTCTCAGAATCTGGTTTTTCAAGAGACAAAACTAATTTAAAGAATGCCTGTCTTGAGCAATATGAGCCTGTGTCTATAGAAGAAACATGCTTATCTTGCATCTAGATGTATCACAAGACTGCTTGATGATGGTAAAAAGTGAGATATTTCATAATATATGCTTGGAGGCTGCCTAAAAATAGCAAAAACAAAATAATCCTATTCAGCCTCCTGCTATTTGAAAAAACCAAATGACCAAACATCCAGTCTGAAAAAAAATAAAATAAATAACACTCATCTGAAAGATAAAATAAACTGTCACTCATGAGCTAATTCATGCCTTGTCAAACAGAGAAGATTAATTTCATTTGATCTATGAGAAGAGGAGGTAATCTGTTGACCTATAAAGGTCTTCATCCATGGAAAATTGCATACAAACATCAGAGAGAAAGAATGGATTTCAGGGAATAGAGATGATACTTCAGTCTTTGTTTCTGTGTATGAAAGTCTCAGAATCAAAAAACCTGTGGTCATCAGAGCTAATCCAGAGCTACCCACACCTACAGTACCATGTGTCTAAGGTCTGATTAATATGTATGATTAATGCTTCAGTGTTACTTGGCAAATTTCCCAGTAGTCAAGGTCTGTGTGGAATGTTGAGGTTTGTGTAGTGCCTCAGTTTTACAAAAAACTTCCATCACCATGTCTCCAATTCTGTAATAACAATGACATCATCTCTGGTAGAAAATACAAAAGAAAAAAGTATGATGTTCTCATGCCAACGATAAAATGAAAGGGAAGAAAAGACCAAAAAAAATTATTTTTATCATGCTTTTTTATCTCCACAATATCAGGAAAAGCTTTATCCATCTGAGAACCAGCTGGCCAGGTATAAAATTGTCAGGTCATCACTCTCTGCTAATCTAACATTTTAAAATTTAGATAGAGGAAAAACATCATCAGGATTGACCTAGGTTCTGGAGGACTGTGAAAATTTGGGTGCTTAAGTTGTTTTATTTTCAGTGGTTTCTAGTACAATTGGTATCAAATGTTTTCTTTATCTACAGTAGTGATGATTACATCAATATGTAACACAAATATTTCTTCTTAATCTCTAACACAAAAACTTGTCATCTGGAGAAATGTAGTTGACAAAAATGGTCACTGTGAAATTCCTTTCTAACAAATCCTTCTAACATGGCATGAATTTGTCTAAAAGTGTCTTCTAAAGGAAAATATTAAGGATGACCATAAACATCAGAAAATTGAAAGAAAATATTTGTTACATTCTATTGCCTTATACTTGTTCATTAGTGGGTTTAATTAATTAATCATCTAATTCCTACAGGATCTCTGCTTAATGGAAAATCTCATCCAAAGCCTGTCAAGTGAATTAATTTAAACACAATTAATGCTGATGGAGTCAGAATCTCCTCACAGCACTGCAGGTGGTTCAACCCAAGGTACATAATAATTGTATTGGACCTACACCTGCAGAGTGTGAAAGGCAGAGATGGAACAGCTACATTCATCTCATGCTTGAGAAAATTATGGAAACTCCAAAAGAAACCAGTCACAGATCTCAGATTCAGCTGGGCTCTTACCCTGTTTCTGTCAATAATTCACTGTATGGCTTTAAGCAAACCAGCTGACCACTTCATTTGCTCCATTATAAAATGTTCCACTTAACACATGTTATGACTGTTAGTTTGCTTGTGTCCGTAAAAAGTGCTTTGAGCACTAAATATTTGGTTTAAGAAACTAATTTTAGCAGACTGAGTAACTCCAGTTCCACAATGAGCATATCTTTTTCCACAGATTATTTAAGAAAATTTAAATGACAAATACAATACTGCTAATAAAAATATAAAAATATGGGAGAATTTCTGGTAGTTGAAGAAGCTCCAACTAGAATGAGTAATATAGAAATGTAAAATATTTAACTCCTAAAAAGTGAACACTCTAAAGTGAAAAATAAATCCATCAGAAGAATAAAGCAAATCTGTTTAGAAAGTGTCTGTTTAAGCAAAGTAGAAAATCCCCTTTCTGTGTTATGTATCAGTTGTTTTTAGGCTAATGTAACATTCAAAATAAATCAGTGTTTAATACATAAATTAATAATATCTTAAAACTTGTATGCAAGAAGAGATAGCACTGTAATATGTATTTTCTTTTTTCCTTTCTGAGGTACTAGTTCCTTGTCTACTCTCAATATTTGACAGAGCATTCAGTATGGCCTTTCCCCAGATATTCAGTTTGAATCTGCCCCCACTTTTTTTGACTTCAAAATCTCAAAATAATATCTCTATAAATTACCCCAACAGTATTCCTTAGTGGCTCTACAATCAAAAGTACATGGACAAAACTGTAGGTCAGACCTCAGGAAATATTTTACTGGTTCTATCTTTTAAAGAATCTTTATTCCTTCTCTCACAGCTTAAGTTCCTTCCCTATAATTTTTGTTGTGTTTGCTTGTGTGTTTTGAGCTTGGTTTTTTGTTTTTTGGTTTTTTTGTTTTATTTAAGTTCTTTAAAATTTGACCAATATTTTTCTGAGAGAGATGATATTGCACCCATCTTCGCTCTGGTCTTACTTTTCATGTGCCAAGGGTTTCATACACAAAATAGATATGATAAAACTATTCATGATATACTGGCTATGCTTACCATGTTTTTTTAACTGTATGTAATACAGTTCTTCTATTTTATTACTCAGCATATCTTTTTTTTTTTTTCTTCAGTAATAGTGCAGTTATTCCCTAAATTAAATAACTACTTTTCTCACTTTCACTGTGATAACATCATTAAATAATAGACTATCAATTTTCAGAAGAAAAATATCAAAATTAAACCCATCAGACTAATAATTAACTTGAAGTAAATTATTTTTCTCCACAGGTTTTCTATTGTCTACGACATGGGCTTTGGGAACTAATACTCAAGTCAGTATTTACATGCATTTCTGCATTTCAGGACTGCAAATTTTAACAGTATTGATCTTAATTTAGTTAGCAGCAGTAGAGTGAACTTACAATTGGAATTTCCTGAGTCACCATCTGGTAAGCTGGAGATAGAAATTCGAGCTGTGCATCGGCCTGGTCTGCATTCACCACACATTCAACCTCATAGACACGAATGTCACAGGACGACTTCAGAATAATCTGACAGTGGTAGCAACCAGCATGCTTAGGAGTGAATTTTAGAGGAAACTCAACTGTATCAATTCCACCTAAAAAAAAAAATAAATATTAAAACCAATTTTTTTTCCCCTATATATAAAATATGTATATATATTATGGTGGTGTAAAGCTCTTCACGAACACTGAATTCACAAGCAGAATCTGAAGAGGTTTCAAATAAACTGTAGGAGAGTCTCCCCAGCAGTACATGCAAAAATTTCCAAGAAACAAGTTTTAGGAGAGTTACCATATAAGTTAGTTTCCTAAAAATGGTATATTGAAGCATGTAAGCAATATTTTCTATTTAGCAGTAGATTTTAGCAGTGTGCAGAGAGAGTTACTTTAAAATATCTCTTAAATCTAGTAGTAGAATTTATCATATATGAATTTCTTTAAATATTTTTAAAACTATACCAGCTACTACACTTTTGTCAATGGCTACCATCAGAGATACCAGTGACAGTACAGTATATTTGGCTGAGTACCCCCAGCAACTACTGAAATTGTGTTAAATGTAGTAGTTCTCCTGACAGTTCATTAGACATTTTTCTATGCCAAATTTTGGAATGGAAGTGTGAGTTTCTAAAATCATCAGGGGTGTCCAAGCTGAAACAGATTCATGGAAAGTCCCATTTTCCCAATCTGCAGCACACAGGGAAAACTCCCCACCGTCATCTCTAGGGCAAGGAAGAAGCAATACAAATGCTGTCCACCTTTGAACAGAGCCAGGCCTAACAAGTCTGCTGCAAAGATTTCCTCTTCTCTTCTTGCTTACAGAAAAGATCAGACTCTTCCACAGGATTTTAAGCCCCTTGGTAGCCTTTGTAAGACACATTCCAGAGGAGGAACTCCACTGATGGACATAAAGAGTTCCTCAGTCCCAAGGGTCTCTAAGAAACCTCAAAAACCATGTGAAGACTGCAGCTGTAAAAACTGGAGTCTTACATGTAACAAAGACTGATTTCTCTTCATTGTTTTCAAGGTTAGAAACTAATGCCTAAAGGTGGAAAAAGATGATAAAGGAAGTCAGAGACAACATAATGACACAACAGAACCCTACAGATAAAACTCCAAACAATGTGATTCTCTCTGAGGGGAAACACCAAACAAAGTCTTGTGAAATTTTCCCTTTTTTCCTTCATTTGGCTTATTTTCTGATGGTATGCATGACAACTGGATTCAAACTATTCTGATATCTTCAATGACAACAATTGAATTTTGAAAGTGAAATCAATTTTCATTTGCAATGATGCTCATTCTCCTCCACCCCGCAGCGCTCCTCATGTATTCAGATCTCACCTCTGAAAATGAACACCTAACTGAGCTTTTCTTGTGACTTTATGTCATCACTGTGTCAAACATCACTATGTTTTTTTCCACAATAAAAGCTCAAGAGACAAATTGCACAGAGTGACATATTCATCTTTTAACATTACTAGACTATCAGAAAGATTATAAATTGCACTTCAGGTTTAACCCTCTCTGAAATAACTCATTTGTTCTCTTTTAAAGACAAGATTAATGGCCTGGTAATTTTTTAATTATTATCAATATGTCCTATTTTAGCATTGAATTATTATCCCCATGGGCTATCTTCCACAGAAATAAACTGAGTTTGTCAGTTATGCATTTTTCAATCCATCAGTACAGTCCCTGTCAACAGGAATTATTTTAAGATTTTGAAATAAAACATTTTCTTTAAAGTACACATTTTAAATACTTTCATTTCAAGTTAATGTTTAAATCTGTACTTGAAGAAATACAGTATAGCAAAAGATCCAATATATTTCTGTACAAATTCTACTTTCTTGCACTAAATGGAAATTTTAATTACTAATAGCTAAGGTTATTTTTCCCCGAGTGGGACCCATATTTGAAATGCACACTTTCAAACAGAAATGTGTCCTATAGAAAAATTTAAAAAGAAAAACCACGAAAAGTACATTCCATAATTATATTCTGCAGTCATACATGGTCCCTCCAAATCAAAATAACTGAAGAAATCATTTGTCCACAAATTATAGGTGAAGATTGAATTCTTTCCCTGCAAAATGTTTTTTAAATACCATAAAGTAAACTGGGCTTAAAAATGTCTCAGTTTAGCATGTTTTGTTCTCTCAGTCTCATAAGACATTCAACAAAGATTAATTTAGGTTTATAGTCATCTCATAAGACATTCAACAAAGATTAATTTAGGTTTATAGTCAAAGATTTAATCAACATAATCCATGGGGCCACAACTGGCTTACCTAACAATTTCTGAAACAAGAGTGTCAGCAGTAAGTCATGAGCATAATTTGTTTAATTCCTGTGCAGCAGGAGGCAGAGTCTGCATCCATCAAAAAGAATGATGCTGCGAGCATTTCTTCAGCAGTGAAAAGCCAGGCAGGGCAATGCAGGGGTTTGCTACAGTTTCCATCTCTACACAGGATTTTTATTATTCGACAGGGAAGCATTCCATGTGAAATAAGCTGACACTTTTATTTTCTAGATTTATGTTTGAAAAATGCCTACAGGAAACATTCTCTTGATCATGTTGGGTTTTGTTGTGAGACAGTTGTCAAAACAGAGGCATTTTCAAAAACTAAACTTTTAGTGTGCAATTTTACCACGCTTTGTTGGAAAACTAAATTACAGCAAACAGGCACTGGTCATGTCCTCTGGCAACTGCCTGGCATTTTGTGTCATTTATTTATTACAAAACACAATCTGATCACCAGAACTAACAAAGTTCATGTCCTCTGGTTCTTAAAAACATTATAACTCATCATTTTAAATCTGCCTGAATTCAAATCCTTTAACTGCATTATCCTACAAACAGTACCTTTCAAAGAAAACTAATGACAGTTGTTTTGACATCAAAATGTAAGGAAAAATATATTCTGTAAGGTAATAACAGCCCATAGTAATCACTTTTAGCCTTCTTACAAATTGTGGGAGGATTAAATGAGTAAAAATAGAAATGCATCTCTTCCACACCACAATCTGTTGTCATAATTTGTGAAGGTAGGAAAGTATGGGCCTTCAGCAGTTCATCAAATAATTGCACATTAGCTTTTATTCAGCAATGATGATTCTATCTATTCGGAATTTCAAAGCTGAATTTCTCACTGAACTTATCTCAGTCTCTGACACTATGAATGTGTCACAAACACCTGGTTAAATTAACTTCACAACTGAATTTGCAGGTATGGACTCCTAGAAGGTTAAATAAGCAACCATAATTAAGAATCCAGACTTCTGACTTTTGTTAATATAATATAATATAATATAATATAATATAATATAATATAATATAATATAATATAATATAATATAATATACCATTACACATCTAAATAAAAAGTTAAATATGCTTAATCAGAAAAGGAAGATCTACTGAGGAAAAAAGAATGAAAGGTTTTCCTTAATTGATCTAAAAATTAAAATGGAAGGCACTTTTCTTCAATGTCTTGTTATGAATACTCAGCAGTTGTGTTTTTGTATCACTCAGAAGGCAGTGAGGAGCTGTGTGGCACTACAATAAATTAGTTGTAGGGAGCTGGTTGTTTAATAATCATTGTCCCTAATATTTATGAAAAATACTCACAGACACTTTAGAAACAAGTAGTCACGACACCAGTGGAAAATGCTGCCAAGTTTACTTAATACAGCTTTAAGAACCATGACATGATGGTGTTTTCTTAAACCATTTGATGAATAGTCCCTGCTGAAAGGGATTAGCAAATTATAAGGAATTTACAGTGATAAAATAAGAGTATAATTCAAAGACTTGATCTAAAATTGCAACACAGTCAGAGCTAAGGTCTCTCTAAAACACACACAAGATTTACAAAACAAATTCAAACCTGATTCTTTGTGACTGGAAGACTAAACAAAATTTCCTACAAACAAGGAAGAGAGCTCAGAATGATTACAAAGACTGCACTGAATGCATAAGGAAATATTACATGGAGAGAACATCAAAACCAAATCTTTTATATTACTTACTGCAAAATAGTAAGTTAATGCATAATTAGTAATGAAGGCTTATAGTGAAAAGATATACTAAGAGCTAGCTAGAGACTTTTGTGGTGCAGTACCTTTCTTTTTTCAATCTAGATTTCTCTGAGGAAAGGTTTTCTTTATTAAAAAAAGAGAAAAAATTAAGTCAGTAGTTGCTTTACCAAAAGCCACAAAGAAGTCTGAACAATCTGAATAAATTAACTGTAGGAACAATTATTGAGAAAGTAGAAAATATCTAACACTTCCTGACAATTCTGTAGAGAAAGATTTCTCATTATTCACTGGGTAGAAAGGGGTAAAAAAAGAAAAAAAAATAAAAACAAGAGAACTCTTCTTGGATTTTCTTTCTAAGTCTAACAGCAGGGAGCCAATATTGTCAAATCCTGTAGGAAGAGGCAACAGAATTCTAATATTAGCTTTTGATACTGAATCCAAATTAGATAGCACAGTGCAACAACATTTTTCATTGAAAATCAATTGTGAACTTTATTTATTTATGGACAATTTTGATGTGAAATAGTACAACCCAGCCACCAAAAAAGGGGTTTTAATTTTATATTCAGACCTAGGTTTTTTTATGTTTATTTTTATAAACATAGGAAAATCCTAAACTATATAGAATAACAAAAAGTATTCCCAGTGCATGCTTGCCATAGAACAGTTCAATAAGGCACATGCTAATAAAATACAGAAAATGCTTATCAGGACACACTTGTTTAGGTGCATCTCCACATGAACATTAAAATCTACCACTACCTTATTGAACTGCACACATCTAGCACTACTGATGGAATGTATTTATGTATTTATCATTTGATGTTGGGATTTGGTTATTGTTAAAAGGTATAAAATAAGGTATTGATATGTTAATACTGAAGTGTGCTGCTGCAATGTTTAGAACAGCCACTGCTGTCAATCATTTACTCACATATATTTTCTTTCCTTTTAAAATCGTCTAGTCCAAGGGTATTGCTACCAGGTTTCCTGCTAATAGCCCAAGTGGTAATCTAAAGTCATTTCAAGGCAGAAGATTGGGAAAAAAAAAAAAAAAACAGCCTGAAAAGAAGAAAACCAAAGAAACAGGAAGACCTTCTTATAAAGTACTGGGGTGCTGCGGTATGATGAAGTGTCACGGGCAGCTCTGTGAAGTGCTCTGTCTCAGGAACTCCTGTTTCCATTACTCAAAACAATTGTCAGTGTCACACTACAATGTATAAAGGCATAGCCCAGTCCAGAAAATTACAGAATTTCCTAATTCTAGGATAAATCCTTATTTAATACCAAAACACTATTATTGGATGTTTCTCTTATTTTATTCACCAAATAATTATTCACCAAATAATTCTTATATTAAGCTCTAACCTGAAATTTAGAGCAAAAACATGTATCTTAGGAAAGCTTCCACTTTCTTTTCAAAAAGACTGAGTGTTAGAAAGACTTTTGTTTCTTTTGAGTTTGTTTGTATTTTATAAACCTCTCATTCATATAATTTTACAGGAATCATAAATTGTTTCATTACAAATCTCTGTCTAATGTACAAAATGCTGTGCTTTCTGCATAGAGCACTTAACAATCTCCACAGTCAGACATATTTTCCCTTTTTAAATAGCTACAGGTACCCTGAAAGGAACCTCTTTCCCTCAGAGATCACAGAGTCATCAAGGTATTCAATCTTTCAAGACCTTGAAAATATCTACAGAACTTGGCTGAACCCTTCCTCATTTGCAATCTTTGGTCTAAAGTGTGGAACAAGAACTGGATGTGCTGTTCCAGTATTATGTTCTCCTTCATAATACAATAACAGCACTTTTCAATACCTGCACTGTATTTTTTCAGTTATGCATTCAAGGATCCTTGTTTTTCAAAATTTTACAACAAATCCTTTGATGAAAGAACAAGGGGGCTGATGTCAGAAGAACACAGAGTGGGAAGTAGAGCTGACAGCTTCAGTTCACACTGTGAGATAGGTACTCTGCTGCTTTGCAGATTTCTCAAACATTTTGAGAGACATTACTGAAAAAAAAAAAAAAGCTCTTCTTCTCCTTTCTACCTATGTTATTTCATCTTCGATATGTAACATTATTTAGCATAAAAACCACATTGTTCAAAGAAACCAAACTGCCTAAGAAGTTGTTTTGCTTAGTTAAAACTTAGTTGGAGCTGATTTTCAGCTGATTAATTGCTGAAAAGACAAATAGCACTGACTTTTCCACTAGTTTTCACAGTTCAGCTCAAAAATCCACAGCTATTTCCTTCTTTCCTAACCACAGTGGGTGTTGTGCTGCTGGACAGAAACAGCAAATATTCAGCAGAAAAAACGCTGAAAAAGCTATTCAACTGAGACAATATAATAGCTCTGACTTACCAAACATGGTCCTTACCTGCAGGAAGAGCATACTCATTTGCACAGATACAGTTTTGTAAAGTAAGACTGCATGGCAGGAAATCTTAAATAATGATAGAGATTATAAACACATATATGCATTACAAAATCAGTGACACTGGCAAATAAAGTTACAGCTCAAGTCACAACTCTGAGCCATAAAAGCTCTCTATTCAAAGTTTCTCGTGCTTTCACCTTCGAAGGAACTTGTCAGTTTGGTGAAGCATGGAGATGGTTTTGGATGCTATTTCCCTATTGCTAAAATTTTGAGCCATTCTTTTAATCCCACTTAACATTTTATCCTTCTCATTTTTTCTTAACACCCCTCTAAGAAAAAGGCAACATATTTCAATGTTGCAACGTTTTTCTATTATGCCTAACATGACTTTCTGAATGTTCAATCTACCATTCTTTGGTTTGTAAAGCATTGCAGTTTTACTGTCAATTACCTTTCTCCTGAGCTATATATGGAGATTGAATTATTTCCCAGGATATTTCTGATGATAGAGGGAAACTAAAGCTCTTAAAAATCCCATTTGAGACAAAGGTGAACAACCACCATGGTGTGTGACATGATCCTCTTACATACCAAATGGTTTAGCCTGCAGACTCTGTAGAATTCCAAATTTGCTTGCACTAAAATTCATATCTGATAACTATGTAAGAGCTCCAACTAACATTTTCACAAAATCTATGTCATTCCTAACTCAACAGAGTCTTTGTAAAATCTTCCAAATTAGTGAAATGTAGCTAACATTGTGCAATAACTACCGGTTCCTAAGGATTCCCTTTCTGATGACTCTCCAATAATGAGTGAACAAGACTTTCTTAAGGTTTGCAGTCTTGGAAATGTATCAGTTTAGATCTATCCAGGTATACAGTATGGGTTTTGATCAAGATATCACACTTGAAGTAAAGTAAACATACTCTACTCTTTTTATCTATTTGATCTGTAAACAATGACAAAAATGTAATAAGTTCATTTAACAAGATCTATTTTACAAGAAAATGTTTTGAGTGGCATTGATTTTTTTACCTTCTAATTCCCTGTTGGCACAGTTCTAAAAATACTGGCTGTACACTTCCTGCTACTGCAATCTAAGAAATTCTGATCTGAAGATTGATTTTAGTCTGCTTGCTTCCACCTTTGTTTTTCTTCACAAATCTAAGCAGGGTCATTTCTTCAGAGAACCAGCTACTCCCACCCTGAGGAAAGCTACAGCCATGGCTAAAACACTGCTGCTTTCCCAGACAATGATGTCAAAATTTTCAGATGAGACCAATGGTTTGCCCAGGACCACCAGCCAGGGACTTCTGTCACAATATTGGGTTTTGTAAGAGCCTGTAAATTCTCCTGTGTTTCCTCATTAGTGAAATAAATACACTGAATTAGTTGGCAAAGTCTCCCTACTGAACAAATATTTGTTTTCATGCTGTCACATGGTTATCTCAGCTTCCCTTTCTGGATGTTCTCTACCTCATCACCTCTGAATTCACTACAAAAGCCAAATTTATTTCTCTGCTCATCTTGACATTTCTACTTCCTCATGTAACTATAAACCATCCTAGAAAGAAAAAATATATATCATAAAGATTGTGTACACTGTGGTATGATCTAATTTCTGACTTTACATTGATTACTCTCCTCTTTCAAGGGTTTGTTTAATATCTTCTCATGAATAAAGAAGCAGCATGAACTAAGAGTAAAATAACTACTTTTCCTCCCTGTAATATAGTTCATTTACTACATTCCTTATTATAATGTAGTTTATTCACAACACTTTTTGTAGTGAATACAATGCAATTAATATTCTAAATTTTTCAGCTATATTCATTCACATTTCCACTTCTAAAATAATTTGAGCAGTTCCTAAGCAACAGTGATCTGCCAACTGGTCAGTTAAGAACCTTTTTCATGCGACCATGATGGAGATCCTGGCAGGACATCAGATCTCTGTGTGCAGAGTTGGTTCTCTTTACCCCAGCTGTTATTCTGCTCTTCTACAGCATAATCCAAAGAATCTCCTAAAACACTCAACAAAGCCATTGACTCTTTTTTTTAGTTCACCTCTACACTAATTATGACACAAACACATTGTTATTAACTTGACAGTGAAAGAGCTTCAACTAGGGTTTAAATATCCTGCTGCACATGACATGTTCCAGCCTTCAGTGTTAAATCTATTCTAAAACTTCTACTGACTGCTCTTGTAGTCCCTCACCAGTCTTGCTTCTAATACTGCCATAACTACTGCTGCTATCTTCCTAAAAATACACCCTAAAATGTTTTATAGCAGTTAAATTATATTTCAGTTAAAGTATCTCTAACAAAGACTTCTTAAAAAAAAAAAATAGATTCCTTTTTTTTTTCCAGAAACAATAAACACAAGATATACATTTAGCATCAAAAAAACACCATGAAAGCACAGCTGGTTCCAGAGACACTTGGAGAAGTGAACTGCAGAAATATGCAGAAGGACTACATTGATTAAGAAAAGAACTGATGAAACAGAACTAGATATGGACTATGTATAATTCAAGTTTCTACAAATTTACATGAAGTTCCCCTCTGAGACTCCTTTTCCCCAGACTCGAGCTATCTCAATGGCTCAAGATGTTTTGAGGTTTTTTTTAAAGAAATGCAACCTAGAGTGCTTTATAGGTTTAAATAAAGCATTTTTTAAAAAAACAAATTTCAGTACAAAATTTAAGATACTATAAAAATTAGAGACAACAGAGTAACCAAAGATGGCAAGGTCACTCTGAAAGGTACTGCACAACTCTTCATTGAAGTGGGACATCATTAGCTGAAATCTCCCTCTGGCTGGCTGAGGAGGGCAAAGAAAAGAGAAGTGATATGAGTGGCACAATTTGAACACAGATCAGTGCTGGATGAGAAGTGGAAGAGAGAAATGGGAAGGGAGCACAAATTCAGGACCTGTCAGATAAACAGACCAAATTAATTTGTCTTTTAGAACAAGTCTCCTGTGCTTGTGTGCCTTTGAGAAAACCAACAAACCAATGGCAAGTGGAAAGCACTGGTTTGAGCTAATATTTAGAACTTGGGTAGAGATGAGAAAGGCAAAGTTGATCAATAGTTGAAAGGAAAGAAAGATCATTTTCTAGATCCACTCAGGAAAACCTTAAAAATAAAGATTATCTTGGCAAAAGAATACAGTCAAATTAATCACCTTTAAGACTATTACCTGTTTTCTGAGATGCAGTGCATTTGTCTGATGAATTGTCCAAATTAACTCTGGCTGAAGCTAACACTGGAATAGAGAACTTTTTAGGAACTTCAAAGAAGTGTTTCATGCTCAGTTCTACACTGTAATCCACGTACTTCATCTCTGAGGGGCGCTTACGGGGTTTCAGAAGTGCATGTCTCTGCAAGGGAAACAGTAATGTATACAGCTGAACAGTTGTGTAAAATTTTCAGGTTAAGGAATTTAAAATTGTCCATGCTTAATTCTAAACATTTATTAATAATTAATAACCTTACACAGCAATTTTGAGTGAGCCTTCAAAATAAAAAAGGTATTTTTAGACATCATATGAAACATTTGTTTCAGATGAAAACTGCATTTTGAAATTTACAGTAAAACCACATTCTACCCAGAAAAAAAACTTGGCTAGCCTTTATGCATATGCAGGAAAGGCAAAAAAAGTAAAACAAACAATTAAAACCATAAAAAAATAATAAAAAGAAAAATATTTTGTATCAGTGGTAGAAAGATGCTTCTCCTATTTCAAAAAGTTTCTGAGTAATAAGAAGCATGAAAAAAAATTTATTTTGCTTTTTGGCAAGGGATAACTATTAGCTAACTGATATCTAATTGCTGAAAATGCATTTTAGAAATTAGGGCATTTAGAATCAATTCTAGAGACGAGTTAGCTCTTCCTCTTAGTAAAAAGCATTTCTAATCAACAGCATGAAACATATTAGTAAAGGATTAGCACAGTATATTAAGGCAAGCTCAGTATAGGCATCTGAACCTCTTAATGAACTTAATTTGACTCCTGTAGGATATCGTTGCAAAAATACTGCAATGATTTAATACACTGCTTGCTCAAAATTGCCTTTTTCAATCCAATAACACACTATAATTGCAATGCTCAAGAGTAATTGTAAACTGAACAAATTTTAAACCTAGTAATATCTTTTTTACAGACAAGGCTTTGAATTAATGACTTTTGTGAATTATCTTGAAGAAAATCTAGGATGAAGATAAATATGAAAATATTCATGTTTTGCTAATAAGACTGGTTTATTCTCAAAATATTTTGATTTAAAATACTTCCAGGACTGCAGGTATCATAGTACATATTTCAAGAGGCCAAGGAATGCTAATCCACTGTGGGAATTCAAAAACACAATTTAAAAGGAAATGCAAATGTTCTTAAAGATTGCCATTAGGTGTAAGATGGTCAAATTACTGTTTAACTCAACTAGGTTTGGGTTCTGCTGTGGTTTGGTGGTGGGGTTTTTTGGTTTGCTTTTTTTACCCCTGTTTTAATATAAAATCTCAAATTCTCTTGTTGGTTTTAGAAAGTAGACTCATACTCTGACATTGCCTTGTTTTGACCATTAATCTATCCTTCCATAGTGTCAAGACAGTGTAAAAAAAAAAGTACATATGGAGTTTGGGAAGCTGTTAAGATTTAGTTGTTAATATAGATTTTTTTTGGCACAATAAATATAGAAACAGATAATTATTCAAAATTCTTGTTCTATGAAGAGCAACTGGACAGATGTATTTGACTAAAAAATTCACAGCAAACCAAATTGTTAGGATAGTCCCTCTATTACTGTATTTGCACAACTTGTGAAAATATAATTTGCAGAAGGTACAGGAAAAATTGCTATGTGAATTGAAAATCATAGCTCACTGATTACTCATTTCTGTCATACAAGACTGGACTCTGACACTACTCTCAAACACACACAAAATTAATTAAAAAATCAGTAGGTACAAATAATTAAATTGCCATATTAATTGCAATAAAGTTCTGCTTCTCTATGATAGGAATTAAATGTCAGAATACTTTGCAGTGGAAAAAAAAAATCATTCTAACTTGTAATGGGAGGTTCTGAACCAAAAGAATTACATATATTTACTAGTTTAAATTTGACTTGATCTTCTGCATAATCAAATATAAATTCCTGCCTAAAAATGATTTTCATAAGTAGATTATTTTCAAACACTAAAATAAAAATCCAACATGATTATACAGTTTTGTTAAATTTTCATTGACAAAATAATTTTAAGATGACCTTTCCTGGCACACTGAACACAATTTAATTATAATTATCTTGAAGAAATGTCTTATTATTTAAAAATTCAATGAAAGACTTTATTTTAAGATCCCTGTTCATGTTATCTCATTTTTAAACATGTTAGGAAAAGAATCCAGTTGGTTAGTATTACATAATCTATGAACATTTCAAAGATTTCCTGGCATCTTGTAAATAAATAAAGGATGAAAACATTTTTAATGAGAGACCTAGTGGAAAAATAAAATTCTGCAACCACACACAGGACTAAACTTTGCTGCCTCATAGGCCAGCATTTCCAAGAGAAAATATCAACACAATTCAGATGAACGTTGCAACTGCTCCAATTTTTAGCCTTTTTGTGGGCAGTAAGCATTAAATAGAATTTAATATTTTTTAACTCTCATGATCAACGCAGATCTAAGGCCTCTCTGTGGCAAAAAGACAAATTCCAAGCACTTCTACTTCATCAACCTGATGGTTCATGATATTCCAAGTGTGGAAGTCTTATTATCAGCTAAGAATAGTATTTGCATTCAGTTACCAGGATTAATTACTTTCTAAGACTATTTTTTTAAAAATTAATGGAGGATACATAAAGCATCAGAATTAAACTTGATATTTTTCAAGGACTTTTTGACTTTCCAAGGTATTTTCTTAGAAGTACCATCTGCACTTTCTATGTGTGAAGGGTGGCAGATTCTGTTACAGGGTGCTGAGGCACCTCTTTCTTTCCTTGCATATTACTGTTCTTCAAATCCTAATTTAGCACCATTTCTTCCTTCCAGAAATTAACTTCTAAAACTGGTTCTCATGAATAAAGAAATTTATTATCTTGGTCTCTCAGAACCCCTGTGATCAATGGTGTCTTCCATCTCCCTTAATCCCATATCAAAAGGTAGATGATGTAATATAGAAGATTGGTCTCACTTGTAAATTCAGCAAATTGAAATCTGACCACAGACCCTTTTCAGAAAAGTTCATTCCCACTCAAACATATCTAATGCAATTTTTTATTTCCAGTACCTTCTGTGCTCAAGGACACCATGATTCCTCCTCAAAAAAAAATCCACACCAGTTTTTTTAAAAAACAAATTCTTTACACAGAGCTTACAAATTTCCATAATCACATGGAAGAACACAAAAAATCCTTCTTGATCCCTGTGTGCCTATGAAGAGCACAAATTCCAAAGATCCAAGCTGGACAGGTGTAGGATGAGACTTTGCCATGTGAGCCAAATAGCAGAACCCACAGCCCCAAGTGCACAAGGTTTCCATTAATTTTTCCTTGATTGAAATTAAAACTCATCAGCACCATTATGGAGTACTAAGATAAAAAAACTCCATGTTGCTCAGCCACATGGACAGCAGGACAGAAAGGAAATGCACAATGTTCTAACATCTGGAATATGGCAAATGTAGTGTCCACACTCAGATGAGACATGTTCAAAAGGAAGCAAAACAGGGCCTAAGTAAATACAGCTTAACTATGAGGGCACACCTGGACACAGTGGGAAGTTAAAGCTTTGGCTCTGGGATTCTTGTACAACAGGACTTTTCCTATCATAATGTCTAGTTACACAAGGAGATTACTGGCATATATGACTAAGAAGCAAAAGTCCTGCATCAAAGAAAAAGTCCTGAATCTAGAAATTGGATCTAAAACTAGTTGTGCTATTTCAAATCTCACTTCACTGTCTGCATCATCCTTTCCTGCACAGTCCCAAGTAAATGAATTACCATATTGTTATTTCTTTTTTCTTCACTTTCCTCTATTTACTGCAACTAATAACTTCAGTCTAAACATGTTCTTCTCCCACAGTCTCTTTTCTTTTTTCCAATACCCTCCTTCCCTTGATATCTATGTTCACCTAAACTTTCCCCTTTCAGACTTCTATTATTCAGTCATTACTAATTATTCACAAAACAGCCTTTGTTAATTACTCACTACAATGCCAGACCCAACCTTAACAGTTTCTGAGAGTTCCATCCTATATTATCTTTACTACTACCCAAAAATGTTTTAGGAGGAATTAAAGAAACACTAAGGAGGTGAGAAATTTACACAGTTTTATGGGAAAAAGATTTTAAAAAATTATTTGTTACTAATTCTAAACATTTAGACAATCAAAATAGATCTTTGTTCCCTATGGTAACAAAAATGAACAGTAAAAACATAGTAAAAAAGTACCTAGGACTTTTAGATGTGTATAGATGGGGAGAGTGAAAAATTACATCTCTACTTAATTATTATGCATATCCAGTTTGACTCCAAAAATACAGGCCACCTTTATTACTGTTTTCTATGTGACTTAAGTAAATATGACTAAAATTTACAGTTTAGAGAGACTGGAAATAATGTAATTAGTTACTTATTCTTCAAGTAGACAGGTAAAAAATGGACATAGTACTAATGTAAGGGTATTCTCCCTTCTATCCATCTATTGTTTAACATGATTCTACCTGCAGGAAGCAAGTAGAAAGGTGGAAATGCAGAAGAGAAAAGATTTCCAAAGATTCTGGATTTATCTCTAGCAGACAACATGTGCCCCAAAGGATCTCATGAGCCTCAATAATTCATTGAACCACTGGTGTTGTAGATGGGTGTAGTGGTTTAGAATTGCTTCTGGTTTCTCCAGTTAATGCAACCAGAATTTCTATCTTGTTACCTTTAAACAGATAGCTGGCAAGGATTTATTAGAAAAATACTTAAGGAATATCTTTCATAATTTAGTCTGCATTTTGGATATTGAAATATTTTTAATGTATAAACTCTCTTCTATGACAGTAGCAGAACTTCTCCCCTGTATTTGTCATAAGCAAGTATAAGATTTTGTGTGCATGGAGCAAAATACTTCTTTCTGCACATTAGTTCCATTTCTCACATGATAATTCATTCAGTGTTGTATCCACCATAATGTGATTTATAAGGTAATTTAGCTAATTATCCTCCACTCTTCCATGATACATGGGGTTTTAGAACTCATATTGCATTTTAGCATGTCTAGTGGTTCAAGGAGTGTTCCTATTATCTTCTGTCTTGATCCCATCCACAACTTCAGAGCAGTTAGACTTTTCATCAAGTATTTGCTAAGTGACTGTGATATTAAGGGACTTGAATTAAGAAAACTCAATAAAATCTTACCACAGCAGTGGATTAGCCATAATCCCAAAGGAGGCTACTTGAGTCTAGATGACTCAATTACAATTGTTGGCCCACTCCAAACAACAGCTTAAAGTTATGATATAAGTTTCCCTCATTTTATTTGCTTTATATTACTTTTCAAACAAAAAGCATAAATTTAGTAACACCAAATCACGAGGGAAAATTCTTTTCCTCAGCACTGGGAGCCATACTTGGGGAACTAAGTGGAAAGCTGGAGTAACACTGCTGCCCAGCAACTGGTCTGAGGCCAGGTACCATCAGGGCACAAGGGAAATTAAACCCCAGAGTGGCTATCATCCTCAGAAGGCTATACTTGAATTCTTCATGAGAAAAAGCCTTGTTTATTTAGCAATATTACTATTACAAATTTATTCACAAGCAGAAACTGATTGTTTAATGGACTACCTTGGGAGGACTCTGTTTCTAGATGTTGAAATCTTGGGATAATATGTATAGGTTTGAATGATGCATAAGAGGGGAGCTACATCTTATTAGAAAAACTTGTAGTTTTTCAAAACTATTTTGCATTGATTGCAAGACAAGGAAAAGTCTGTCCTGCTCCCTCATGTATTCTCAAGGTCTATTGTTTTGAGGAAAAATAATCTATTTCTTATATATATGCATAATGAAGGCTATTAGTACAGATACCTATTACATAGAAAACAAAAGCATTTTTAATCAACAGATGTTTTTCAGAAGTAAAACATTAGGACTTTTCTTAATTGCAGTCAAGTTTTCTTAAAGGAAGGACATCATAATCCAGAATGAACATGTAAAATACTGAAATGTCTGAGGGAGAACTGGGATTAGTAACTGCCAGATAACAGATGTGTGAAAAAAACCTAACTTCTCACTATTTCCTGAAACATTAGAACAATTCAGTCCTGCAAATCAAGGACAACTAAATTTAATTGCAGCAGCAGATAATTGTGTTTCTCACCTCTACTCTGGACAGCCCCAACAATGCAGTTGCAACTCGAACGGTGCTGCTCTGCAGAGTCCCAGTCATCAATCTCCTCTCATACTCAAGGGCTGACATCTGCTGCTGTGCAGCGAGAGCCAGGGCCCTCTCTCTTGACTCATTGATCAGTGGAATCCTCAGATTTTCCTCCAGAGTCTGACCAAGTCCACATTTCAAATATAAAACTGGTTGTACTGCACTTGCATCTGTTAAAAAACCCAAATAAATGAAAGAGCAAAACAAAACCACAGACCACATTTATTAGCTGGTGGAACTGCAGAGAGTATTTAAAATTTCTAATCTCAAAAAAAAAATAAAAATACAAAATTCCTTCCATGTTTAGTTCCTTGCTATTAATCTACTACATGCAATTTATTACCTAAAATACTTTATTTTTCAGCATAATAGGGAACTAAAAATTAGCAAACTGAAATGCAACCTAAAATTTGGTTAATAGAGCTAAGAAATAGCTAATAAATTAGCTAATAAAAAAATCCCAGATTTAAATGTTACTACTATTGTGACAGTATTAAAAGTTCACCAAAGTCTTTTTGCTACCTACACAAAACAGCCACACTTTTACCCCTCTAGATGATGTTACACCCCCTCTAAAAGAAACCACCAGAAATTATTTCAAGTAGGAGCTACACTCTTTCTAAGATATGACTGGCAGGAGTATATCCCTGGCTATTAGAAGACAAAAGCTTTGGAATATCTGTCAAATCACAGCACTGCACACAAAATCTGTGTTTTAAAGCTATAAAAATTCTAAATAAAGATAACTTGTCCTAGTTCATATGAGTAGCAACCTATATTCAGAAAAAGAAAATAAGAAAAATTGGAAAAAAATATTTATGTAGACAGTGTTGAAAACAATACAAGGTGAAGATCATCAACAACCAGCTGATGCTCTGAAGAGAATGAACTAGAAAACATTAGAAGAAATATTGCATATATTCATTATAATGTATTTTTTAAAATTCACTATAAACAATTTTTTTACCAGATAAATCTAATTAATTTTATGAAAAATCCACAGAAATAAAAGAATATTTACAAAAAACAAATTATTTCCTCTATTTTATTCTTCTCCCTTCTATTCACTATACCTTCTGAGGCATTGGTAGCACACAAAACATTTGGACTGTCCAGTGCAGGCAATTCTGAAGGCAAAGGTAAATCTCCTGTTCCCTCAATCAGATACACAAAGTCTCCAATCTGAAACGCAAGGACATACATCCACACGCTTCAGAAAGCAACTCACACAGAACAGAAGGTAAAGTTATACAACTAATAGCAAAGATATCCCAGTAACATCTAAGATCTGAGATGTGCAATAATTTAAATATTCAAGAGAACTGTTTGTTTTTTTTAAAAACTATGCCTAAATATAAGATAAACATTATTTCAAGCTATGCTGTGATAATAAAGTAACTTTAATTGATAATATTAAATCTGAAAAGTCAAGAAATTTCAAAAAGCAGAATCCTTTCAAACACCTCATAATTAAACTGAATAAGAGTACCCTGACCCATAAATACAGCAAAAAAATTGAATTCTATCTACTACAGTTATGTACAATTAAACATGTTCATGAGCAACCTTCCTTGCTCTTCACCATTTGGATTTTTTTAAAAAAATGTTTGCAACAGTTTTGAACCAGAAACATTTCTCTAGAAAGCAAAATCAATCAATCAATTAATCAATCAATCAATAAATAAATAAATAGGAAGTCAAGGCAGGTTAGCCCCATGTAGAAATTCTCCTTCGGAAAAAAATAAAGTTAATAAATCTTAATTATTTCATTTAAAAAACAGAAAACCTACAGAAGCTTCAAAGTAAATATAGACCTGGCTTAGAACAAAGAAAGTAATTTTTCATAGAGGAAAGGATCAATAACAGAGAAATAACACTTTGAGTTATAGATGGAATGAAAAAATTAAGGTGCAAATGAAAGACGGAAAAGTATTTTTGAAGAAAAGAAAACTTACTGAAAGTACTCAAAAATAAAGTCCACAATCAGAACAGCCCAAACTATGAAGATATCTAATTTAGGTACCATGCACCTATCTGAACTAGGCAGGAGATTTAACATATATACTGCATATATTGCTTTGATAACTTTTTTGTGTTTACCACAATTTCTTTTTCGGACAATTTTAGCTTCTACTGATTGCAAGATAAAGAATTAAATGCCTCTGCAACAACTGATATAATTTGCACATTTAGTCTCCCTTTGTTTCTGTAAACCATATTCTGTAAAACTCTGCCCTACAAACATGTCTTCTTTCTTTTATTCTTCATTCCATATATGAAAGAAATAATTTATTTTTATAATTTAGTGCATCTGCCAACCAACACAATGTTTTCCTTTTAATACTGCTCAATAACATAAGAAAACCCTATTTTTTCCTTTGCCTTCATTTGGAGTTTCATCAGATATTTATGTTAAGGCTGAAAACACTGCAATTATATTTCTGACCCAGCAGAAGGAAAGCTATTCAACCTTGATGGTATTTTCTGCCCTTTCTTGATTCAAGAGCTCACACAAATCTTCCTTGAGAAGGATTAAAGAAACCTCCAGCAAAATTGGATTCTCACACACTAACAGCCACTCCTGGGAACCAATTTAAACAGGAATTATTCCTGTTTGACACAGTGATTTGGCTCCATAAGGGCCCTTAACAAGCTCACAGCACACACAACTAATTTTATGAAGGTGCTGGTTGCTTGGATGCCATTCTGCTATCAGCTACTTTTCCTGTCCTTTCTGACATCAATATGCTTATTGGAAGGAACAAACTTCCCCTATTTCCTTCCTGCTTTCAAGAGTTCTGGGGTTTTTATCTCCACAGAATGCAAATCCTGTATTCTTTCCACTGAGCTTTTTTCCTGATGCTTTGGAACAGAATGGATATTTCACTAAATTTTGAGAGTTTAGCTTGTATGCCCACGGTTTTAATGCTTCATATTTCCATTTTCCATCAGCTGCAAACAGGACAGCATCAATGTTGTATAGAGTTTACTGTTAATGAAAATAGTTAATAAAAGAGCTGTTGAGCTATCTATCCAATCCCACTGCCATCTGATGTTTCAAAAGAATGTAGGGCTACTAGGAATTTGCAGTTGCCTGTGCAAGCCAGTAAGTAAGAGGAACAGATAGCAGTGATCTTCCAATAAACATTTTATTTTATACTAGACACTTAGCTGTAAAAGCCTGGACTGACACTCTTAAACTATGATTTAATATATTATTGTCACTAAAAATTCCATGTTGTTCACATTTAAATTACCTCCCAGAAATAAAGATATATTTTAAAAAGCAACACAGTTATGCTGAACAATATATAATATATTCTATAAAAACACCTATGCTAAAAATCTGAAAAATGTCCTTTTCAATTTTTCTTAAAGAGCAATGAAATACTGAAACAAATCCTTGAGAAATGTGCCAAATGGCTTGTGCTATCATTTCAAACCTTAGAAAAGTTAACATCAAGATTATTCCAAAATAAGGAACATCCTTGAGGCCAGAAGCCTTGAATCAGTGTATCCTCTTGCTGTTATTACAGATATATATATCTGCTGCAGTGATGGATACGATTCCTAATCAGATTAAAGTCCAGTGATTTAAATCTCAATACCTTCTTCATTGATTATAATGAAGGAGCAGACCTACTCTGGTTATTATTTTGGTCTATTTGTCAAAAAGAGTAGGAAAAGTAGGTAAGAAATAAATCACAGAATTGTGATGCTAAATTAAATTATTTATTACATTTTATATATAGTACAAGTCCATGTTTGAATGATACAAGACTCCTCATTGTGTAAAGTCATTTGATCATCATACAGCATGCTGGCTGCACTTCTTTGTCAGTTAGATAATGGTATGACTGAAATATTGCAGCCATATACGAAATATTTAAGACAGACAAATTCTTCCTGTGCCATTACTATACAGCCCTAAAATCATGTTAGCTATCTTGCAGCTTCATCCTTCCCTAGATTTAATACAATTCCTCACAAGTTTTGCAATTAAGTAGATGAAGCTAATTTTTCTAACCTGAGGTTCTGCATATCAAAAATTCTGCACTTTGAGGAGCCTTTAAATGCATCACACCTCCTCAGCTAAGCTGGAAAGATGAGGTGTTCCAGAAAAAGTTACCATACAGGACTTAACAGCAGCTTCTCTGAGGCATTAGTGCTTCCTGCTGTGAAAAGGTCAACTAAACCTTTGTTAAGAATAGTGACTAGTAGCTCAGTGTCTAAATTTATTTCTACATCACCACTGGAGGCAACACTGGGGCTGTCAGAAATGTGCTTTTCCCTTTCCACCTGAACTATGATTGTCCTACATCTCTGGCCACATCTCTCAGATTAACACTCTTTCCTTAACATGTCTAAACTGCCCTTCTCTTCATTGTTTAGCTTTCAAGCTCTATTCCTTGTGTAGCATGAGCCAATTCCTCTCAGCCAGGGTGTGTACTTCTGCTTCTAACGAAGATACAGCAGGTAAATTGTCAATAGCAGAGATTTAAAGAGTATAAAATCGTAACAGGTAAAAGGAGATTGTTAGATTTACTTCTAGACAGCAGTAGGCCAGGTTCTTCCTTGTCTAGAGACTGCATCTTGATATTTCATCAAATTAAACTGATGTATTTAAAATTCCTGTATGAATGTACTGCTGTTAATGTGTATGTCTTCCCTAATAATTTCTCTCTTTGAATGACGCTGAGCACTGGATTGATTTTCCACTGGACCATCCAAAAAGTTTGCTACTGACACAGGAACATTAATACATCCTCTTTGTGGGTGATTCCCTGCTGTCAATAAGGTGTGAGCTCATTATTTCAATGTATATTCAACAAAAAAAAAAATCCCTCTTGTATTTTCAAATACTGGACAGAGTCAGAAAGACAGGCTTGAACATCACAGTATTAGTCTTATTTTCCTTTATGAACAAGATGAAAAAATTAAGCTAGGTGGCATAGGCCAGGTGGCATAGCCAAAGTCATGTTTAAGCAATAAAAAAATCCCATCAAACACACAAACACCAAACACTATCAGAAGTTCCATGTTCTGTAGAAGGTAAAAATATGGAAGCTGAGAATGTGCAGGAGAAAAAGTCATTTAGTTTTAGATGCACTGTTACAAATCACCAAAACAGGGCAGAGAGAAAGGCAGAGGCATGAAATTGCACAGGGGGGAAGCTGAAACACAGAGGCAAGGTTATGAAGGTAAGAAGCAAAATTTAAACCTTGAGATAAGCCACACACAGAGGATTATAGAAACAACAGGGTTTTGAAAAGCATTGACAGCCAGAGACAAAACACAGCAGATAGGTTAAAGAGGTGAAAAGATGGACTAAAGACACAAAAATAAGATTGTGACCACTGAGATAAAGGATTACAGGAACATCAAGAAGTTGGAATGCAAGGTTTAAAGCTCTGAAATTTGTTCAAAATCAAATCATGGTAATTTGATTGAATTTCAATTAAGTGTATATGGCAAAACCCAGGCTACATTAGTCAAGAGAGACTGAAAGGCTGTGGAGTCAGTATTCATCTTGTCTTTTCTGAATGGAACTCTGATTGAGAGAAAAAATTTAAGAGACAGCAAGGAAAATTATTATTCTACTTTGACAGCATACCCTAAGTACAGTGATGAATACATGAAGAAGTAGAGAACAGTAAAGTCTTTATCCATTCCCTGCCTATGCATTATTCTTGCACCTACGTCAAGACAAATTATTTAAATTGCTTCTCTTTTCTGAAGCTGAGATGCCTAGAAAAGCCACCAAAATAACATTCCTTGAAGTATTACTTTTTATTACTTAGCGGTTTTAAAGTGAAAAGCTGCCTGCAGCATTCCATACAATTCTAAATATGTGTAAAAAGACAGTAAACAGTTGCCCTTGATCAGGACCTTCAAGCCCCTTTTCACAGCACTGCTTTCATTCACCCTATTCATGAATAATTGGCAAAAGTCCTGATTCTTACCTGACATGATAAAACACAGAACACACACTTTATTCTTACCTTTTCATTAACCAGAATGACAGTGCAGTAACGCTTTTCCTGATGAAAGGGAAGGAAGTGAATATCTAAGGCTGCAGAACCTTTCGCTTTCAAGACCACTTCTTCCATTGGACTGAAGAACTCATGCAGGAGGCCAGATTGATCAGCTGTTAAAATAAATTTAAGTGGATGTTTAGATACAATAGCACAGGTTGTAAAATAAATTAGTTGCATGAGTTTAAAAAAAAAGGATATTGTATACAGCCTCCTGTAGCAATCAGTATTTAAGGCACACCTGTAATGAGTAATCAGTATTTACAGTTACAGTTGTGTAGATGTGCTGCAATATTCCATGCTGTAATATTTAAATACATTTTACTAATTACCTGTGTTCTTATTCTGTACAAAACTGGGAAAGCAGACAGCTCTCACCATTAAAAATTCCTTAAGGAGGTAGAGCCACTAAGAAAAGGTCTACTCACACCAGAAGGGAGAAGTATAATTCACTGCTATTTAAACAAAGAATCTCACTATCAGAGCAGCAACTTATGTCTGAAATCCTCTAGAACAGGCAAAACCTAATTTCTGGCAACACAGGCTTTTTTGCACTGCTTTCACAAAAGTATTATGCTGAGCAAGAACCTTAGGGTTGAATCCAGCAGACTCTGACTTTCCCACTTTATGTTTCTCATCTGCTAAGCACATTTTAACACGGCAGAACCAGACCTTCAAGCTTTTCTGTCTGGCCTTCTAGGTAGGATAGCAGACTTAAGAATAATATGAAAGTGAAAACAACAGAAATTAGTGAGATCACATAAAAAAACTATGCCAAATTCTGGCCAAATGGAACAGAGATGGAACACCCACAACTTCTCTGAGTAACCTGTCCAACGCCTCACCACCCTCACAGTAAGAATTTCTTCCCCATATCCAATCTAAACTGCCTTCCTTCAGTTTAAAGGCATCACCTCTTGTTCTATCCCTACACTCCCTTGTAAAAAGTCCCTCTCCAGCTCTCTTGCAACTCCTCCAGGTACTGGAAAGCCACAATAAGATCACCCTGGAACCTTCTCCAGGATGAATTTTTTGACTGTGATGCACAATTTAAGGCAAACATTTTATGAAAACTATAAATAATAGCTACTGAGAATACCCATAAATAATATTTATTGAACATACTTAGTCAAAATCTTGCATCTGTAGATAATCTAATTTCTACTGTAGTAAGACATGGGGTATTGCATAGGAACTTACAGCAAGTCTCTTCCTTTGAATCTTCAGGCAATGCACCAATTCTTGAATTTAACAGGCTATTTTCAGAACTGAAAGGAAAAAAAAAGCAATATTCTAAAACTGGACATTTCTATTACCAGTAAGTAGTTTAGTTCCCCTTTTTATGAATAAATATTGGAAAACCAAATATTTTAAACACAAAAAAACTCCAAAACAAAAACAAAACCAAACTAAACAAGCAAACAAAAAATACAAACAAACAAAAAAAAACCACCAAAAAACAAAAAACAAAAAAACTACACCAAATCACACCACTACATTTTGGAACCATTTTCCAACCAATAATGTAAAAAATCACCTTATCCATTTGAGGTAGCAACAGAAATTACCTTTATTAGCTAACATTGCCTTTAATCATTCAAAAGGAAACATAATCAAGTTTTTTACTAAGAAAGGAGAAAGGGATGAATCTTAACCTAATCACCTGAACTCTGTTCATTACAATATTGCTTTTCAAGTGGATTTGAAAAGAACAGATATACTCAAAAAACAGCTTTGAACAAAATCTCCTTTGAACTCCCAACTCCCCAAAGCAAACTGTGCTCCTGACCATCATATTTTCTTAATGTGACTTTATGTACTTTTTTATACTTCTTCACAAGTAATTCCTATTCTTGTTGACAGGTGTTAAGATTGTGCAGTTACATTTATGGAAGAAGAGCTTTGCTTAATTTACAACAAGCACAGAGCTCAAAGATGCTGAAAACAGTACTGCAATGTATCTCAAAAAATACTGAGAATTTCAGCTCAAGACTCAGATTTAAAATTATCCACACATAAAAGTCATTTTGCCCAGCAGTAAAATTTGATGAACCAGAATACAGCAAACAATTACTGCATTCAGTGTTTGATGTTGGATCTCTCTTAAATTAAACAGTTAATCTTGCTGGGCTAAGAAAAAAATCACAACCTTTAATAAATGGACTTGCAAAATTCTCAGAATATGTTACCCTGGAGATTTGTTTTAATACCTGTACTTAAAGACCATTTTTCAGAAAGGAAAATGATCTCTGAGTATATGCATACAACATACTATTTATACTGTATTTTACAAAAAATAAAAATTTTATATAAAACCTAATTTCTCTCAATGCTCTATCTTTGAATGAGAATGCCAAGTCATGCTTGCAAAAACAGCAGAAGCATCACTGTAAAACTAACAAATAGCTCAGAAGCTGTATGAAAAAATAATAAGAATAGTACAAAATACATTACATTTTTCCACTGGTGAGGACTGTACGTTGAATAAGTTCTATTTTCAGACCTGAACAACTGAGAAACTCATTAGACTGATTTAACACAGTATTGAACTTCTCTCAATACCAATTTTTTTTTTCTTACTTCAGTGAACAAAGCACTTGCAGGTAAGTGATGGGAAAAGAAAACAAACCTGTGTCGCGGAAGACATGAACATTGTGTCTCATTCTTCCACACAACAAAAAGAAATAGCATCTTGTTCAATAATAAAACTGAAAGGAATAAAGTTCAGAAGGTATAAGAAGCTTTGGTTGTGTTCAAAGTCTGGTTCAATACATCCTCTTTCAATACACAGAGAAATAAGGAAAAGGATTAGGCAGAAGAGCTTAAAGCTGCCGTAAAATAAGTCTACACAGACTGTTCACCGCACCTGGGTCAGGCAAATCCCTGGGATCAACACAGAATGTGGAATTAATGGCTCAAAAGCAGCTCTGTGGAGGAGAACTTGGGAATACTGGTAAATGAAAGATTACAGATGAGCCCAGAGAGCCAAATGTGTTCTGGGCTGCATCCAAAGCACCGCAGGGGAGGAAGGGGGCTCTGCCCCTCTGCTCTGCTCAGACCTCACCTGCAGGGCTGCACCCAGCTCTGGGGTCAGAGCACAAGAACCACAGAAGTGGCCAGAGGAGGGCTACAAGTGGTCAGAGTGCTGGAGCTCTTCTCCTATGAATATATCCTGGAGAAGATAAGGCTCCAGGAAGAGCTCACTGTGGTCTTCAATATTTAAGTCCAGGCCAGAGGGAGCTGGGGATGGGGGAGAGAGGAGAGCAGCTCATAAGAAAGAGATACCAAGCAACTTCTCCAACTGCCCTAATTTAGTTTGGGTTTTTTTGCTAACAAAGCAAGATAATTTTACTGTTCATTAAATGAAAAAAAGTTCAAGATTATGTTACAGGTGAGGCACTTTCAGTTGCCTGGTTGAGGTGTGAATACTTCCAATTCAATTCTTGCTGTGATTTATTCTGAACAGTTCAGATTCAAATTACAGCCTGGATAGGAAGGGACCTTTAAAGATCATCTAATTCCAACCTGCTTCCATGCTTTTGCACCAGCAAGACTCTAGTATCTGCTACCTGAGTTGTCAGATACCAGTTCCAACATAACACCACAAAGCCACTGGGCTTGCCATGTTATCGAGTGTGCCAAAAATCCAGATCAAAAGGAAAATCATCTCTGCAGTCAACACAGGGAATGTGCATACATCATCATGACATATGAGCTATCCATATGTCATAGTGTGCCTCTACTCTTCATTCCAGGCTCCAAACAAGCCAATAACTGATTTCCATCCAACAAATTCCCAGAAAAAAAAAATTACTTTCCTATATGTATTTGGAGCAGAATTTACTAGATGATCTTTTCAATCCCTTATAGCTCCAGGTTCTATATATTACTGAGTGGGGAAAAATGTGCCAGACACCATAAGGAAATCTTAAATTCAAAGAGAAGCATCTTAATCAATGAACTTTAGGATGTTTAGCAAGCATGCATCTTATCAGAAAGAAGGGATACAACAATCTGCTTAGAAATACATTGAAAATACTGAAACATTTGAACACAAAATTCACATCTGAGATACTCACCAGCTTCCACACTCTGTGGAACAGTTTGTGATCTCAGAACAAAGAGTAGGATAGAAACCAAAATAGGAGCTACCCAAAATAGGTACTAAGGCTTAGAAGAGATGTATTTCTTTTATATCAAATATTACCCAGAATCTTAATGACTCCTGATAACATACTTGTAAATTGTATTTTCTGAAACAACAGCCGTTAATGCTGTATCTCATATTATACAGAGACACCATTTTTAGATCCTGATTTATTTTTTATTCTTCTAGTATGTAAATACAGGTATTCTGCATAACATAATTCTTTCCTTAGCACATGAAACAGCTTAGAAAAAGAAGTGCAAGAATAAACTTCAGAAAATTGAAATTGTTTGTAATTCCTGACATTATCTCCATTTTAAAAAAAAAGAGTTAATTTATTTAACAGTAAGAAGCTATACACAATGCAGAGCTTCATTTGAAAGTCATTCATTATTTTTTTCCTTTTTTTGGTTCAGAATACATTTCTTTAATGTAAAAATATTTATCAAAATTCACAGCTTGTTTTACAAATCAATCTGTGCAATCATGATCCAGCCTTATGGACTCTGTACTGCATATTCTGCTTAGTCATGGTTTTAGAATAGGACTATTAGTGAAACATTGGTACATCTTTACCACTTTCTAGTTTTACATGAGGAAATCTATGAAGGAAAAGTTACCTATTAAATATAACCTTCAACTTTTACTGTCATTTGATACTTTTTTCCCCAATGGACATAATTTAAAAATACCAACATGCTTGAAAGCTATGGGTAGTTTTACATTACATAAAATTTCTGAGCCATGAGGCATGCTTCTCTCCACCTGGTTTTCCTTCTCCCACAGGGAGCAGACCATGCTGGCACACAGATGGAGACCAAAGATAATAACTGAAGTGTCAAGGGCTTGGAAAAGCACAAAGAAGTGGATAACTTGAAAAAGTCTTGTCTCAGTATACTTAAAAGAAAAACTATGTCAACTCAATTTAAAGAAAAAAAAAAAGTACTGCGCTTCTCACCAGCCACCATCCAGATCTGCATGAATCAAGTCTTCCCTGCAGCCACTGAAGGACATTGGCTACTGTTAGTTTTAGCCTTAGACAATGCTGTGTCCCAGCAAGGACACAGTTCCTCAAGCTCTAGCTCCAGACTGGGATTGTTCCAGTCACACTGTGATGAACCCACACCACAATGACTCAAGGGTTGGTCTCCCCTCCATCCTGAATGACACCGTTTTGGGTGCCTGTGGCACTGCCAGAGGGGAAAGCTGGCAGGCAAAAGGGTCACCTGCCAGGCAAGGCTTCTTACAGTGAGGTTTAAAGTGGATCTGACATATCTGGAGGCACAGGATGAAGATGCAGAGCGAGTGCTGAGCCCAGTTGGTCATGCTGGGATGATTAAGTTGCCATTTGCATACCTTGGTCCTGACATCAGTCTCACAGACACAATTACCCAAAGGGAAAACACCAACTTTACAGTAGTTTTATGGTTACAGAGAAATTTCTACATGGCCCTCAATTTGTACATGGCATTTTCTGGATTTACCAAAAGAATAAAAATGATTGAGGGCAAAAATCTTCTTATTGATCAGCTATGAAATATACACACACTACTTTTTTAATACAGATTTCAGAAGGTTGTTCCATTCAAGAAAAAGATCTTCTGAAAGGGGGAATTAAGTGGCTTCTGTTATCATAGATAAAAGAAACATCTAAACATAGAGCAAATCAGTATGGGAAATTTCTAAAGACCTAAGATGCCCTGAAATCAATTTCTGTAGGAATGAGATCTGGATGTGTGACTAAAATCACACTGTTTAGACTGATTGTCTGGGGATAAATTAAGCTGAAATATACAAGATGATTAAGAAATCCTTTTGTTTAGACTGATTGTCTGGGGATAAATTAAGCTGAAATATACAAGATGATTAAGAAATCCTTTTCTATATCAACAATTATTATTCACTTATTTAATTTTAGTAGAAATATTACACTTTAGAAACGAAAATTATTAAATTATGTTAAAATATATTTTTTTCTTAATAGTAAAATGTTCATTATTTTTCTGCTTTTAATTTTTTCTATTTTTTTTTATTTTATTTTTTAAAAAATAATTTGAAAAACAGCCTGCATTTAATAACATGGTTTGGAATATTTCTATCATTACAATAGAACCTACAGTATTGATGAGGCAGTAGTTTATGATATTTCCCAATAAGCCCTGAATAAGTGTTTCAGGATTTTGAATGTTTACATGAACTTTAGAAATTACATTTCCCAAACTGTGGAAAATATTTTAAATTATTAAATGAAGAATTACTGAACTACTAAAGAATATATTTTTTTTTAATCTGTTTATAATTTTTTTGCAGTACTGTCCTCATTTCAGCTGGGTAGAATTCATTCTTTTTTCTTAGTAGCTGGCACAGTGCTTTGTTTCAGAATAGGATGAGAATAATACTGATAACACTCTGATATTTTAGTTGCTGCTGAGCAGTACTTACTCTAAGTCAAGGATTTCCAGCTTCCCATGCTCTGCCAGAGAGCAGATTCACAAGAATCTGTGAGGGAGCATGGCCAGGGAGGCTGAGCTGGAGTGGCCAAAGGGACACCACAGAACCTCAGGCTCAGCATGAAACCCAGGCAGAGCTGGCTGGGACCCCACTGCTCAGGGACTGGTTGGGCATCTTCTGTGATATTTCCATGTCCTAAACTGTAATTCTTTACAACAGGCAGCACACAGCTATGCACAAACAGGTAATATTAATAGAAATGTATAAGCCAATACATTATAGTTATCAAATGTTATCTGGAACTTACCTAAACTTTACCTCTTGCTTTACTTGCCTGGCTTGATACATTTTCTCTGGGTGCACTAAATAGTTTGTGGATTCCAGCAAAATTACCCTGGAGCATGACAAGCACACATAATGACTGCATTTTTAACTTGCAGAATGAAGATGAAATTCAATTTATTGTAACTTTTAAATGCAGGCTCAGTACAGAAGCTTATTATCTTCAATTAAAGATACTTTAAAAGTACTTGTTGTGGTTTAACCCTAGTTTTTCTGTAAAGGATCTTCTCCCTAGGTATCAAACTAGCATTTCCTAGTGCTATTTGCAAGTAAATAATATATACCTCAGTGAAACACTAGATTGTTCAAAACACTGGAAGCCTGATAGAAAGTATTTTAACTGTAGATTACTGGTTCAAATGTTGCCCAAATTGATAATTACTTAACGTAGTGGTCAAGTAGCTTTTGGATGATATAAAACTAAATTACACAAAACTAAATTACTTCATCACTTCATTGATAATTTCCAAGGGAGTTGTCCAAATCATAGGACTGATTCAGCCTCACTGACCACCTCAAGGACTTCAAAATAAAAGGCAGAAGCTAATTAAATTCATATGATTACTACACACAAGGCTTGGAGCAGAGGAAACAGTCCTGCTACAGGATTGTTGTTATTGTTACTATTTGTACATACCAATCCTAATCTGGGGAGAAAAGAGAAATTTAATTTGCAGATTCTGCAACATGTATATTCATGTTGCAAAAAAAAAAGCTTAAAAATGTTGTGAAAAGATGGTTCTTCCAAATAAATGAATGAGATGAACCAATGCTTAGTTCTAAAGACTAAAGAGAAAATATGGAGTCAGATCACATAAATTGTTTTTAAAATTATTTTTTAAAAAATAAAATAAAAAAAAAATAGAAAAAATTAAAAGCAGAAAAATAATGAACATTTTACTATTAAGAAAAAAATATACACATATTTTAACATAATTTAATAATTTTAGTTTTCTAAAGTGTAATATTTCTACTAAAATTAAATAAGTGAATAATAATTGTTGATATAGAAAAGGATTTCTTAATCATCTTGTATATTTCAGCTTAATTTATCCCCAGACAATCAGTCTAAACAGTGTGATTTTAGTCACACATCCAGATCTCATTCCTACAGAAATTGATTTCAGGGCATCTTAGGTCTTTAGAAATTTCCCATACTGATTTGCTCTATGTTTAGATGTTTCTTTTATCTATGATAACAGAAGCCACTTAATTCCCCCTTTCAGAAGATCTTTTTCTTGAATGGAACAACCTTCTGAAATCTGTATTAAAAAAGTAGTGTGTGTATATTTCATAGCTGATCAATAAGAAGATTTTTGCCCTCAATCATTTTTATTCTTTTGGTAAATCCAGAAAATGCCATGTACAAATTGAGGGCCATGTAGAAATTTCTCTGTAACCATAAAACTACTGTAAAGTCGGTGTTTTCCCTTTGGGTAGTTGTGTCTGTGAGACTGATGTCAGGACCAAGGTATGCAAATGGCAACTTAATCATCCCAGCACGACCAACTGGGCTCAGCNACATGGCATTTTCTGGATTTACCAAAAGAATAAAAATGATTGAGGGCAAAAATCTTCTTACTGATCAGCTATGAAATATACACACACTACTTTTTTAATACAGATTTCAGAAGGTTGTTCCATTCAAGAAAAAGATCTTCTGAAAGGGGGAATTAAGTGGCTTCTGTTATCATAGATAAAAGAAACATCTAAACATAGAGCAAATCAGTACGGGAAATTTCTAGACCTAAGATGCCCTGAAATCAATTTCTGTAGGAATGAGATCTGGATGTGTGACTAAAATCACACTGTTTAGACTGATTGTCTGGGGATAAATTAAGCTGAAATATACAATATGATTAAGAAATCCTTTTCTATATCAACAATTATTATTCACTTATTTAATTTTAGTAGAAATATTACACTTTAGAAAACTAAAATTATTAAATTATGTTAAAATATGTGTATATTTTTTTCTTAATAGTAAAATGTTCATTATTTTTCTGCTTTTAATTTTTTCTATTTTTTTTTTATTTTATTTTTTAAAAAATAATTTTAAAAACAGCCTGCATTTAATAACATGGTTTGGAACATTTCTATCATTACAATAGAACCTACAGTATTGATGAGGCAGTAGTTTATGATATTTCCCAATAAGCCCTGAATAAGTGTTTCAGGATTTTGAATGTTTACATGAACTTTAGAAACTACATATCCCAAACTGTGGAAAATATTTCAAATTATTAAATGAAGAATTACTGAACTACTAAAGAATATATTTTTTTTTAATCTGTTTATAATTTTTTTGCAGTGCTGTCCTCATTTCAGCTGGGTAGAATTCATTCTTTTTTCTTAGTAGCTGGCACAGTGCTTTGTTTCAGAATAGGATGAGAATAATACTGATAACACTCTGATATTTTAGTTGCTGCTGAGCAGTACTTACTCTAAGTCAAGGATTTCCAGCTTCCCATGCTCTGCCAGAGAGCAGATTCACAAGAATCTGTGAGGGAGCATGGCCAGGGAGGCTGAGCTGGAGTGGCCAAAGGGACACCACAGAACCTCAGGCTCAGCATGAAACCCAGGCAGAGCTGGCTGGGACCCCACTGCTCAGGGACTGGTTGGGCATCTTCTGTGATATTTCCATGTCCTAAACTGTAATTCTTTACAACAGGTAGAACACAGCTATGCACAAACAGGTAATATTAATAGAAATGTATAAGCCAATACATTATAGTTATCAAATGTTATCTGGAACTTACCTAAACTTTACCTCTTGCTTTACTTGCCTGGCTTGATACATTTTCTCTGGGTGCACTAAATAGTTTGTGGATTCCAGCAAAATTACCCTGGAGCATGACAAGCACACATAATGACTGCATTTTTAACTTGCAGAATGAAGATGAAATTCAATTTATTGTAACTTTTAAATGCAGGCTCAGTAAAGAAGCTTATTATCTTCAATTAAAGATACTTTAAAAGTACTTGTTGTGGTTTAACCCTAGTTTTTCTGTAAAGGATCTTCTCCCTAGGTATCAAACTAGCATTTCCTAGTGCTATTTGCAAGTAAATAATATATACCTCAGTGAAACACTAGATTGTTCAAAACACTGGAAGCCTGATAGAAAGTATTTTAACTGTAGATTACTGGTTCAAATGTTGCCCAAATTGATAATTACTTAACGTAGTGGTCAAGTAGCTTTTGGATGATATAAAACTAAATTACACAAAACTAAATTACTTCATCACTTCATTGATAATTTCCAAGGGAGTTGTCCAAATCATAGGACTGATTCAGCCTCACTGACCACCTCAAGGACTTCAAAATAAAAGGCAGAAGCTAATTAAATTCATATGATTACTACACACAAGGCTTGGAGCAGAGGAAACAGTCCTGCTACAGGATTGTTGTTATTGTTACTATTTGTACACACCAATCCTAGTCTGGGGAGAAAAGAGAAATTTAATTTGCAGATTCTGCAACATGTATATTCATGTTGCAAAAAAAAAAGCTTAAAAATGTTGTGAAAAGATGGTTCTTCCAAATAAATGAATGAGATGAACCAATGCTTAGTTCTAAAGACTAAAGAGAAAATATGGAGTCAGATCACATAAATTGTTTTTAAAGGGGCGCAACAATCTATTTTCTTTGTACTAAGGAAAGTAGCAGTTATAACTGCAGTTGTTGCAACTATGATGAATACAAATTAACAATTAGACTAACTGATAATGATGAAAGCCCCAAGGCAAAAGCCTTTTTTTTTTTTTTTTTTGCACGCTTAATAACTTAAACAGCAGAATAAAGCAGATTGGGGAAAAACAACCAACTATTAATTAACATGGCTTGTTTCTCTTTGTAATTCTGCTGGACCTCAGCCAAACACAACAATACAAGCAAGGTTCATGAACTCTGTTTGATTAAAGCTCCAGCTTTACTGCTTACACTGAGACAGATTTCAATTAAGGCTTATTTATCTTCTTTATTCATTATGATAGCTTCCACTTCATAGTGCTTGTAACAATTTTGGGAATGTAAATCCCTATCATTTAACCTCCAGGTTTTACATTTTGAAGAAGAAGAAGAAAATTATGGAAAAGAGTGGATAAAACAGCAGGATCATTAAAGACTTGTCTTTATACCACTGTCTACCTGAATGTGCCATCGGTTCTGAAGGGATTAGTAACATTTAGGTTCAATTTCTTCAGCTCATAACATGGGGATTTGCACTTTATCATACCCTACAAAAGAACAAAAAAACACAAGGCTAATAACCAAGTCATCATTTTTTCCTTCTTATCTTTACATGTCCTCTATTTTTTTCTCTTGCCCCAACCTTCCTTTCAAACAGAATCAGAGAGGCTAAAAAAAAATAGAGGCTCACATAAACACCATCTAAGTTCAGAAGTCTATCCCGATGTGCTCAATGAATGTGGATGACAAACATGGGCCTACCTGCCCTGATTGGGCAGATCTGACAACTACAGAGTCTCTGTGGTTAAAAAGCACAAACAAATACAGAAACATCTAACACAAGCTTGTGGTCCATCTACACGTGACATCTGAAATCGCTAGGCTGAAGCACATCAACACCCCATAACAGAATTTCCACTAAGAGTCCTATGCTGAAAAGGCTCCAGATTTATTTTCAGAGCAATCAGTGCGAATTTTTACAATTTATTCAGGATCCAAATGTGATTTATGTCCTTACAAAGCCTACATATTTCTCTAGGGTTTTTGCTGCATGTACATAGTCTAATATTGGAAATCTGAAAATTCACAGGTCAAAGGCGAATGCTGATGGTAACTCACATTATCTCAGTTCCCTTTTTTTTTGATATAATGTACAGAATAACAGTATTTTTTTGGGTGACAATATTGATCATACACATATAAACTTACAAGAGGCTCAATATTCTTAACTTCAGATTTCAGAGAGAATGTCAGTGTGGCACCATCTCTTCCATCAACTTTATTTGAGATCAGTATCAATACTGCTTCAGCAGGGTGCAGAAAACGAATTGTGAATTCCACATTTATAAAGCCTTGTCTCCTATGAAAAAAAAAGAAAAAAGCACAAAACAGGGCACAGAAATTACTCAGAAATGTAATTTCAGGAGAACATTTCAGTCTTTCAAAGGGAAGGGTCCTAGAAAAGGAAGTCATTTGTTTCCTCTGAAATACTTTGTTGTAGTATAACCTTCTGCCTAAGAGTACCTTAAAATATTCTAATAAAACAACTATATAGATAAAGAACAATACTGAATCCTTATTGCTTTTTACATCAGTATATAGCTTAATTTTTTTTTACACACACACACACTCACTAGCACAGAAAGTTCTCTTTCATTAGAGTATCACCCTAAGTTAACAACTGATCCCATTTATGCTCCTCTATCTGAATGGATTTTTCTGAGTTAAGCAGTCAGCCTGTTATGCATTTTGTGGGGTGGATCTAGACAGTCTTAATCAGATTATCATTGAAAAGTGAGAAAGAAATTAGTTAAAAACCCTTCAGAATAATTAGTGAAACTGAGTAATTAAGAGGGATAAAAAACAAAGTTCTCTTGCACAAGCAACAGCTTCTCTCTAATGGGAAAACTGGAGAGGACCACACAGGAGAGTTTAGACTAGGTACAAATTCAGACTTTATTTGCATCAGTCCTTCAATGAAACAAGAACAACAAGAAAACTTTAGTGCCTGAAGCTCTCACTTTGAAGCACTCAAAATGTCTCTCTGATTTTGATATTAGTCTTAACAAGGCAGGAAGTCTCCAATTGTCAATTCTGGATATTGATGATGTAAATCCTGGAAGTTCTGTAAACCTGGCTCTTACAGCTTTCAAGTTCCTACTGTGGAGACAGTTCCAATTATGACACTGAAGAGTTGCTGAGTCCCCCAGAATCTGAGGCTCCTTGCTCCCCTCACCATTCAAAATGTTCTGAAAAAGCATGCTGTGATGCAAGCACCCAGAGGAATAAACTGCCTGAGACATACACTCCCAAAGCCACTATAAAGATAAAGTTTTAAGAAGTGTGCTCTGGTCACAAATAAGGACAGGCAACAGCAGTGTGCAGCCCTTTCTGCCTGAACTTTGCCCTCTGACTTGTGCAACAATTGAGAATTTGGATTTAAATTGTTATATTCTGTGGCAAAACCACAAAGTTGCTCAGTTTTTATCTCTATTAATACATGTTGTGTCAATGTAAAGTGAGGGGAAAATTATCTTATGGAATTGTTGTATGACCTTGAGGGTTTTTGGTATTCCTGCTGTGAACTGCAAGTCTACACAGCACAGTGCAGTGCCCAGGAGAGTGGGAATCTTGGATCAAGAATTCAAGATGCCATGTGCAACATGTGACACTCAGCTACACAAGAATGTCAATCCCATTACTGTAATTTCCAAACCCACCTACAACATTATGATCTAACATAAAGAACCTGCAAGACTCCCATATGGCTTGTCAATTCTTGGAATTTTTAACACTTGCACCAGAATATTAAGAAAGCTATTAGTCTCAAAGAATCTATTTTTCATTTAATGATCATGACATTATGATAAACTCTGAAGAGGTTACTGTGCATGACTGGCATTTCCACAGATTTTTATTTCTATGCAATTTTTCAAATATTTGTTTTTATATATAATGCCAAGCAGCTCAACAACAAGGTTGTGCACATTTTCTTCTGTCTTGATTTTGCTTTGTGGTTTGTTTTGGGTGTTTCTTAAAGGTGAAGTGGAAAACAACCATGGTATTGACCTTTCATACAAACACATGGTATTTTCAAGGATGAAATTTATATGATAACTCTTATTTGAAGTAATTGCAAAGAAAATGGAATCAAATCAGCCTCACAGCTTGCTGAAAACATAGCATTATTTGTTGTTCCCTTTGCATATATTTATAATAGGCATGTAATTTAATACTGACGTATTGATGGCCCTTAAAAAGCACTGTATTTAAGTTGAGTCTTCTTGAATTTGACCTTCACAGTTTATTTTCATACAAATGTTGATCTTTTTTATTCTTTTTACAATCTCTAATCCATTTTATCTGTAAATGGATATTTTGCCAATAAAATTAAACCTAAACTTAAACCCTGTTAACTGACAGCCAGAGCCACCACATCCCTCTTGTCTTCACTAGTTAAACAGGGATTAATAAAATTCTTGTGTTGATTCAAAAAGCTGCATAGCACAGAAAGACCAAAATTTACTTTGTGAACAAAAACAATGAGATAGTGATATACCATGAGTATTTCTACCAGAAATTATAACCTGATGCTTTCCCAAAATTAAATCTCTTTCAAATTATTAGAATGAATAAGTAACTACATCACATCCATCTTGGTGGGGAGGAAGGATGGGGCAAAAAGATGCAGTGTAATACTACTCAAACCAGTGTCATGGTCTCTTTAATTCCCAGTCATGCCTAAATTTAGAATAAAAACCAAAATCTGAGACTTCAGAAGAAAAGAAATCTACCTGCTCATGCTTCTAAAATGCATAGATGTACAAAATGTGAATCAAGTTTTGATTTTTTTTATTTTTTGGAAAAAAAATATATACTTTGGAGACAGATGACTCCTGGAATGATCTGAAGGCTTATAAATTGCTCTTAAAGCTCTATTGAGCTCAGCTGCAAGAGTCCCACTGAAATATTCCTCTAGATTTGTTCCAGGTTAAGGAGAAAAACCTGACCCTTATACCAACTAATTTTGCCCTGTTCGCAGTTGAACACATTTCTAGAGTTTCACCACTCTTTAATTAGTAAGTTTCTATTTCTGTAATGTTACAAATAATAATACTAACAAGTCATTACTTACGTAGCAGGAATGGTAACAGTGTTTCCCTTAGGCAAAGAGAAATCACCAGCATCTCTTCCCACAACAATAGCACTGTATGCCAAAGTATTATTGCTCGGGTTTTTCAGGCGCACCTACCACAACAAAAAACAAGATCAGATGATTTTTACTCATTTTTCAGACTATAAAGGGTGTGTTCTGCAGGTAAGTTCCAAAATACAAACTAAGGATATCAAAAAATAAGGAAGTATTTCAAATAACTGGGTAGATAATTTTCCTTCTAAAGGAGTGCAGATTTCCCACAGACAATCCAATCTTAATTTTTGAGAGTACAGTGTACACTGCACTCCTATGCCTGTGAATCCCTCATTCCTCTCTTTGATCTCAGATTTATCAAATTTGTAGATTTTTTCATGTGCTTTCAAGCATAGAGAAAAAAACAGAAGTGAAATCCCAAGACTGAAGGGAACAAAACCAGAAAATGCACACTTTAATCTTCTATATTTAATAGCCAAATGACATGAAACCTATTAATTATTTGTTGTAGCTTATACATAATATAAACATACATACACACAGTGTTCTAACCTTGCATTACTATGAATCTAAATTCAGTGGTATCATTACCTGCTTCACAATGGTAGCATGGAGAGGACCTGTAAATTCTATACTGCTCTTGGGTAAGTACTGAGGGAGAGTGTCATACAGGTGGACACACAAAATAAGCATCATGACAGGGTTTGGATCACAGATATCAGTGGCCTAATATTGAAAACAAACAAAAAAAATTACCAGGTGTTTAGTTAAAAATGTGCCTGGATAGACTAAAGAAGAAGGAAAAAAATTAAGATAATTCTCATTATTAAAATATTTTTAATCTAACCTGTAATAACTGGATTATTCTCATGACTAACATGAATATGAATCTTGTCACTGCACAAAAAAAACCCCTAATAATTAAAAACATTGACATGTTCTGGTGATAAACCTAGGGTAAAAATTAAGCTCAACTTTTTTTCCCAAAGGCTTATTTTATATATAACACACATAATTTAATATACATAATTTAATTTATAACATACCTAATTTAATTTATAAAATAATACATAATTTAATTTAACAAAATAAACATAATTTTATTAAATGCAGCATAACAGAAAAAGCATGGAAACTTTAATGTCTGGAAAAACATATGTCTTTACTAGCTTAAAAAAAATTAAAATCTTTTAGTTTATGTAAAATACCTTCTCAAATACTCCTACATACAGTTTTGCAACTGTTTATGAAGACAATTTCACCTTCCAAATAACAAAAATTTAATTGTTTCTATTGCAGATCCTTTTATACTTTTGTAAATTGCTTTATAAAAGGTAGCAAATATTCCTGAAAGTTAAATATTTGATTTACAGAAATAAATTTGAATGGCAGCTACAAAACATGTCAAACTTTAGTCCTCAGCAATTCTGGCAAGTCACTGAGGAGAATGGTGAAATTATTTGCCACAGAGTATGAAAAAGGGAGAAAAAAACCATTTATTCTTCTGGAGTGTCTTTAATGTTGCAAGAGAGATGTATAGATATATTTATCATCTTAACTATCTGAGCTAATTTTTATTTTCAAGTTAAAGTTTATTCAAATTTTTCAAGGTAAGGTTGTCTTGCCCTGTGCCCAGCCAAGCAGCTCATCCTAATCCCAGCAGCTCTCACACAGCTCCTGCTCTAACCTTCCAAGAGAGTGAGTACATACATAACTGGGCACTGACCTGAAGTTCCCCTGCAACTCTCCATGGCTTCCTAGTTAATGTTTGTCCTTGTAATTCCTAAGAATAATTTCATATACTCTTCATGCACTGATGTAATCATACGTCTCATCTCGTATTTCTATTTAATTCTTTCACCACTGGTTGAAGATTCAAACTTTAGGATGCATTCACTAAAGTAAAAAAGCTTCTACTCTGCCAAAAGCTTTACACCAGAAGTCTGAAAAGTATTCTGATTTTTCCATTTTTTTATCTCAGTAATGGCTGATGAATGTTAACCATTATTCCAATAAGGCTGTGGTTTTATACCCCTACTTTTCACTCTTCCTGCATTTTCATTTAAGATAGGAAAGATGCTAGAGTAATTATCTGTTGAAGATTTTCTTCTGTCACCTACTTCTTTCTACCCATTTCCACTTACATGAGAATTTATTCCTTCAGAAAATACAGTTCTATCCCGTGAATTCATAAAACTCCATTTGTGCCATTTATCTACTAGTCTAAGAACTAAGTTTAAAAAAAATAGTAATACATTTCTTAACAAGATTCATCAGAAAATATACAGTCTGTAAATATTATTTGCTTTTAAAAATATGTGTTAGCAAACAACAGCAATAATTATAAATTAATTGTAATAAATAATGAATCTGAAGGGAAGTAAAACAAATTTCCTTTACTGGCTATTCCAAATCACTGCACTTTCTGTCCTGATCTTTGTCACACACATTCCCTCCATGTTGCTGCTATCCACCATCCTATCTTGTAATACTTTATTTTAGGCTTTCAGCTGAATCTTTTTCAAACCAAAGCATTGTAAAACTTAAAAATTTCAAACACAAATTAAAAACATGTGGAAAGCCACCACTAATACTCTAGGGTTGAATTGGAACTCGTGATTAGAAAGTAGAAACCATTTATTGCCCAAAGTACTCTATCTTAAATCTAGACCTTAAGCCTTAACAGGATTTTAAAGCTTTGAACTCCATTAAAAGTGTCATTTAAACCTAAAGCTGAAGACTTGCAGACAGTTGAACTTCTGTATTATTACAGATTCTTAGATTTTTAGATTGAAAATGCCAGCTGTTCCACATCTAACACGTCTCAGCTTGTGCTGTTAATGCAAATGTCCTGAGAGTTTAAAAGCAGTGACTGCCGGAGTCAAGAACTTTGCCAATGCTATTGGAACATTTTAGCTTGCTAAACTTCAGAGACAAGACTATCAGAAAATTCCCAAATTAAGAGACTTCAGCAAAAGGATTCATGTATTTTGTTACTTTTATCACTGCAGAGCAAGATAGTTAAGAATTTCTACAATAACCTTAGAAAAGTATATATGAATTTCAATAAATCTATGTAAATTGTACCCTTTGAATTAAAATACAGAACTTGAAGATCCAAGATCTGTTCCTTTTTCTGGTACTGACTGATTGTACCTTTGTTTAAATTGTTAGTCTGTACAGAAGTGGATTAATAAGTGTAGACAATTTAGTCTTAAAACAGGTACATTAAGGAGAATATCTTAGAATTCTGCTTCCACATCTAATGTGCTCAACACCCTTTTCATACCTGGCATCAAGCCTCTGCCTTCATGTGCTGAACTACCTGTTTTTCTTAATAAAAGCTGAGGGAGAATATGCCTTTGTTTTGAAGGTTTTACCCAGATTACTTTTTTGCTTCCTGTCAGTAGATTTTCTTTGCTTAGCCTGTGATACCAAAGGCATTTCTAACAGAGTGATCTGCATCACTCTGTGATGCAGTGACAGAAAGCAACTGATACAAATGGAAATAGCAGGTTAAATTCTCCCTGTAATCATAACACAACCAAATGGAAAGGGGAAAAAAAGTTGTAATTGAGCTTCTTTTTTATACTGCTTTGTTCACACAAATAAGCTCTACCTCTGATGCCTAATGTCGTTAATTCCTTTGGCAAGTTTCCTCACACACTTTGAAATATTTTGTCTATTCTACTGCATCTTCTGCTCCTCCAGACAGCCCAATACAATCCCAGAGATACAAACAACTCAGAAACGGACAGTTAAAGAAATGCAGACTAGGAGCAGGAGAGAACTGGGTTTGGGAACAATATTTAACCTATGTAAGGTCACCATATATTGAAAATTTGGAGCAATAGAGCAATAAAAACCACAGAGATGTAAAGCATGTTTACTAAACATATCAAAGAGATCCCAAGCAGATTCTTTATGGAACAAATTATTAACAGCTATGAACATTGTATTCCTCCCAAATAAAGGACACCAAAAGCTGATGGTTTCAAGTGAGTACTAACCTCACCAGCATCCAAAGCTGCTGGTTTCTGTGTGCATCAAACCTGGGACAGAATTCTCATGGGCCTTCATGGTGAGATGCATGTAACTGTCACCAGACATTCAGACAATTTCACCCCTTCTTTTTATGGTTAAGGGCACATTGTTTGTTCTTGAGCATATTTTTCAAAATTGCCTTCCAACAGTAATAATAAATTCGATTTGAGTTTTCACTGTGTGATTTAGGATGCTAAAATCTGAACTGAATTAATTTATGTTCAGCTAGTTGTGCATGTGTGATTCTACAAATCAAGGAATTATCAAAATTACTTCTAATTAAGTCTATTCATATGGAGCAGTATTTTGGTTTCCATCATAGAGTAACACATCCTGAAACAAAACTGTTTCAATACAATCTCACCTTAACTGCATGTGCAACACTACAAAAAATCAAAACACAAATATTAATATATAGAAGAGCTGCTAGTATAAAATCACCTACCTTTATGTCTAGATCCAGACTGATAGCATGAAGAGCCTTCACAAGTATCAAGGAGTTGTGCAGAAACTGCTCATAAGTTTTTGGATTAGTATACATCTTTATGAAGTGAGTGGGAATCTAGACAAGACAGAGAAATCAAATTCAGCCTTCCACTAGGCAAAATTACTGATTTTGTAATTTTGCTCATTCAGCAATCAATAATTTTGAACTGAAATTCCCTGTTAAGAATAAACCCAGTAAAAAGAAAAATGAATATTGAAATAATCGCCCATGACTTGCTAAATGTTGGGATGGATTTTTTTCTTTTTAAAAATCCCATAGGCCAAGAGTTGCTGTTAAGGAAATTTCCCTGTCCAAGTGCCCAGGAGCCACTGGCAGCTGCCTGAGCTGGGGCTGAAGGGCCCGTGCAGCAGGAGGCTGCAGTGAGTGATGGAAGCCCTGCTTGATTCACCACACACCCCACTCTCAAAGTCTCAGCCATCTGGATCCTTAAAATAATTTAATCTTAATGCAATAACAGAACACCTCGAGCTGGTGCCTCTGAGAAGGGACCCTGTGCAAAGGAAACCCTGGGCTTTTCCACAGCCTCAGTGTGAGTGTGTGAATGTCTGGGGTGCTCCTGCTGTGTCTCTCTGGTCACCTGGCTGTGTCTCAGGTCACAGAACACCTGCTCCAGGTCTCTTTTCTGGGGCTCCCACCACCCAGAGCTCCACCACAGCTCACAGCACAGCCACCCCCGAGCACTCCGTGCACTCCTCGGCATTGCAAAGGAAAATAAGGCATGAACAAACACACCAACTTTAATAAACTGCATAAAACTGCAATGCACAATATTAAAAACCTTCTTACCAAGTATGGACAATAAGCTGCTATCTGTGCTGCCAGTACCAGACCATCTAGAAGATCTCGGTCAAAATTCACTATCCACCTCATGGGTGGTATTCCACCTGATTAAAACACAAAGCAAGATTCCTGAGACTCTCTTCTGCCCAAGATGCCTAGCCTGTTCTAGATATGATAACTGTTTTAAATCACTGAGTAGAGGAAAGAAAATAAGAAAGAAACATCCATTCACATGTAGAATTTCACTGACATATTTCTATTTCAGACCTGTTGCTGAAAACCTGAAAAATCTCACCTAGAATATTTTAACTATTATTCAGTCTGCTGCAGCATGTAAGAGTATTCATCACAGCAGAGTGGGAAACAAATAATCTAAACTTAACTTCATAGATTACAAGCCTAAATATGTAAACTTTTTATTGGTATAGGCCTAACATTAATAGAGCTACATGAAACTTATGAAAATATGCAGAAATTCTTTAAAAATGAAATGTTTAAGACACAAAAAGGAAAGGTTACTGTTTTTCTTTAAGGTCATATTAAATTATCTGGAATAAATGCAATACAAATGAGAGATAACAGCTCAATTGTTTCTGCACAAATCATCACTTCTACAACTGTTGTAAACCCCAATGCCTCAGAAGGTTAGATAATTTTTTATGTATTTCTAATTTTTTATTAAAATAAAACTGATCATTAAGAAATTAAATGTAGTTTATTTATATTTTTTTATTTGAAGCATCCATATCTTAAAGTATTTAACACAGCATTTACACAACTTTACTATCTCAGGTCCAAGCTCCTAAATTTAGGAAACACTCTGGATTTCAGCAAGGTTTTCAGATAAACTGGGATCAAGCTTTTTCATATGGGACAAATTAGATACATTTCATTTCACTATTACACTTAAAAAAATTAGTTCAACCTACAACAAACCCCTGTACCAGATCCTAAGCAAAATCTGTGGTTATGCAGAAAAAGATCAGACATTTATAGACTACAGTTGAGTCATCATCAAAAAAATTAAATGTCTATCACTTCACATCAACTTGCAGATGCTTCAGCATACTCATACAGCTTTAGGAAGAAAAAGCAGGAGCAGATGCTGCACAAACTTATAAACAAAGGTCTGTAAATCCATCTGAGCTTAACTCTGTGACATCAGTAATGATTTTAGCTTGCCACTGCTTCACTGTGGTGATGTTTAGGGTTAACCCAGAATCCCTTATTTTTTCCTATTCATGCTGTGAATCAGTTTAGATAATATTATTGTAAATATTCATTAAATATATTTTTATTAAATATATCTTTAAAAACAATCAACAGTATTTAAAAGAGTATTTGCATGAATATTTAATTTTCTTTAGGTTTCCAAAATAAAATTAAAACTTGCATTAATCTCACTGTGTCAAAATTATTTTTTCCTTATTGCTAAACTGAAAGAACCTTTTCAAGCAGAAAACTCAACTTTCAAGTCTTGAAAACTCCATATTGGAAAGTACCAAAGATGGAGTCTGACTGGATATACAACATCTTCCTGTTCCTTATGACAAGAAGAGATTACAGTAATATGGGCCTCAACATCTAAATTGGAACAGTATTCATTTTAACTCAATCCATTTTAAAAATATCTACAGTAAGAGATATTAGTTTCATCCCATCTTCTTGGTAACCTGCTTGCAGTTATTTTAAAAATATTTAAAGTAGTCACTGCAAAAAAAATACTTTAAAAATAGCAAAATACATTTTTGAAAGCATACTTTCTTTCTGCAAAGTCAGTCTTTCTAACCTAAATTCATCATTTTATTGGTCATTGTTGGGACCTATAAAAATCAATAAACTGTCTTCTTTTTTTATTAAAAGTTCAGACTCACTCTCAGCATACGTAATTATCAGTATTTGTATAAAGCACCATTTCTAAACTTTTACTTTTAACTTCTTAACTATTTCTGCTTTACTAAGTCAAATATTGAATTATTCTTCTGATTACTAATCTAGATTGATTTGCTGAGCATAGTTATGGAAACTCATTAAACCATATGCTTTGATCAAAAAAAGTAACTTTATTTTTTTTATCCTATTTCATATTTTACTTTAATTATACTGTTTGCTACTTTTAGTCTTCTGGTGGGAACATTACTTGAGAACCCTGAAGCAGTAGCAGTTGTGCCAGTATCACAGAATGGTTTGGGTTAGAAGGAACATTAAAGATCATCAAGCTCCAAATTCCTGCCATGACCAGAGACATCACACACAGCACTTTTGTACTTTGTTGTGCTCTCACTAATCCTTGCTTTCCTGCTGCAAGAATTCTCTGTGTGCCAACAAAGTAGCTGGGGAAAAAAGCTGGCTTTAAAAAAAGCAGCGAAAAATTAATTTACAGTTTAATCTGGATCACCAATCCCGTTTTGACATGCAGCCACATAAACGTGCCAGTGGAAATGAAACATAGTAGGATTACTTATTTTAAAATCATTTCTTGAACTGTAGCTTTATAGTTGTGTCAGTGGGAGCATAAAGAAAAAAACCCATTAAGTGGAATATTTTCCCATTTTAGCTAATTAAATACTTCTATAGCATTTTTGTTGTTTTTCAGTTAATCCTTCTACTATCAATCAACATAGGCAAAGGCTTGTGAATAAATTAGTCAGAAAACATAATGTATTTTTCCTAATTACATCAAATCTAGCAGAACATCTGCCAGCAAACCACTCTACAGTAATTAAGTTTTTAAATAGAATTAGTCAATTTTAGCAGAAATAAACAATAGAAATCAGAATTATTACTCAGGATACCTCTAAGCATGTAAATATATTAAATTTCATTTGTACTGGCATTTCTTGCAAAAAAAAAAAAAAAAATTCAATTGGAGCTTAAGGATAAAGATTTTCATCCAACGTAATGATAAAAACCCGGCCAAAAACAGTTTCAAACATAAATGGTAACAGGTAGCAAACAACTCTGTGTGACTGGGGGCAGAGGGAGAGAAAATTGTCCCAACTTCCACTTCTGAATTGAGACAGATTCCTGCTACTTGCTAGCTGCATCCCAAAAGGGCTGCCTGCAAATTTTGATAACACCAAGACTAAAATGGCACATTCTAAATCTCCCATTAATGAAGAGGAGTGAGACTGAAGCCCCAATTAGGCAGATAATGAACTGTGCTCTACATATAGACTAATGAGATTAGGAAAAATGGGGACTTGGAGTTATGAAAAGAAGAAGCAGCAAAAAATATTTCCAAAAAGAATACACGGCCTTGATGAGACAACAGGGGGCTGGAAAGAAGGTGAAAAAAATTCAAAATTGGAGGAAAGATTCTGGAAGTGGGAGAAGATTCTGAAGATCAGAGAGAGGCACAGAGAGAAATGTCACTGGATGTCCAGGGAGTTTGGATGGACACGAGATGGGTGTCTGTGAGCAGCAGCACAGCAGGAATTGACCAAGACTTTTCCCTGATGTTCCAGCGGCCTCCCTGGCACAGAGGGAATGAGAACAGTGCTGTGGGAAGCAACTGGATGTGTGAAATTATCAGGGCAAGAGTTGGTCCTACAACAAACCCAGGATCCTGACCCACCACAGGGTGTTTTATACTCTGCCTCACCCAAGACAAGAGGTGAAAATACTGGGTAAAAGAAAATAACTAAGCAGGGTTAGCTTGGAGTGGATGTACAGACATTTATGAGTGCTCTCAAACACTTGTTATGGTTATGGAAATGTGAAAATATATTGAAAAAGGCCTCTGCAAGGGATCTGAAATGAGAGCAGTTCTGTTTCACTTGTTGATTCCATTCATCCCTAAAGGAAGAAGCATGCACAGTCAATTCAGTGATTTGGGACCAACTTAACTCTTGAATGCATTTACTTGTAATCGGTTTGCTGGGGTTTTTTTAACTTGTAATGGAATCATGTTGCATGCATGTAGCAACCAAGTATAACTGCATTGTCTCCATCTTTCTTGTGACAGGTTAAGCCAACGCTTGAAGACACTGCTTGCTTCATTCATGAAGCATTTCTACATAGAAACAACCAAGTTTTGCCATGGCACTCTAATCATTGACCTCCTTTTTTTTCTTTTCTTAAATTGTTTTAAAGTAAGTCCAGATTCATTGAGTTTTTTAAAACTTGATGCTCTTAGCCTGATGAATCAATAGAAAGTCTACAAGGACTTGCCATGCTTTTTTTACCAAGATCTATTTCTCACAAAAAAAAAAAAAAAAACAAAAAAAACCACCCACCAAAATCAAATTTTTTTTAATATTTATGATTAGATTTGAAACCTCAAATTTTTTGTGAGATATGAAAACTATTTTCCATATTGAGATAATCAAGGCAATTCCTACAACAATTCTACACAAAAATGACCAACCACTTACTTGTTGGCAGAATACCAAGCAACAGTCACATAAATTCCTCTAGGTCTCCTTTTTTTATTTCTTTGACATGCAAATGATACGATGAACCAAGGAAAAATACTATGCATTTTAACTTCTCTAAGATTTTGATTACATTCTGCCATAGAAAAGCAATAAGAATGTATTCTAGGAAAAAGATCCTGTAAAGTGAAGCACAAACTTCACTGATAAACAGTAACCCTAACTGCTATCAGCTGTCCACAATAAAAAGTCCTAGATTGTGTACTTTCCAGTATTTTCATATGCAATTTTTAAAAATTGCACAAGATTATCTTACTCCCATCTGGAGATAATATAAAACAGATGAAAGAACTGGCTTTGGGAAGAAAAATTGGTTGCAAGTATTCATGAGGAAAGGACTATAATTTAAGCTCTTGAACAACTGGAGTAATGATCTGAAACAAATGGGATGAAATCCAATAATGATGCTTGCAGCATACTACAATTAAGAGTAATTCATTACGCAAGTGCTAAATGGAAAATTGGATAGAGAGAACTTCTGCAGGAAAGAATTTGGAGAAAACAGTAAATCCAATACTGTGGCAGAAAAAGCAAATACTGTGCTAGTATGAATTAACAGGAGAGATGCATCTTAAGCACACAGACTGATCTTTTCACTTCTGTTCATTTCTGTAAAATCTCACCTGGTACAGAAACCAGCAATGGGCACCAAATTCAAGAGAAGGAGC